GGATTTTAATAAAAGATTTCAACCTTGTAATTCCTATTTCACAGGCTATAGCTTAAACGGCTTCTAGCTCCACAATAGAGCGTATCGCCTCTTCACTGTAAAAACAAGAAAACTCCATTTTTCTACATTACCTATATTTTACTATGTTCTGTGGAGCAGGATTAACATGTTCATATCATAATACTGTACTACATTTATCCTTATTTCACAGAACATCCTAAGTACATGTAAGTGTGAAAATGTACGCAACTCGAAAAGTATAAAAATGGAGTTATCTTCTTTTTGCAGTAAGGTGGTGGTATAACAATAAATGGAGATGACTTAGTCTAAGCAACAATTTTTTTCAATTTCCTTTTACGATTTTTCTGGTCTTTCAAACTTTTATTCAGTTCTTTGATCCAGAAGAACATCCTTGACCTGAAAAACAGTTTTTTAGCTTTTGCAGGGCAGTCAATGTTGCTGCTCTTCAACAGAAGTTCACCTATAAAATTTTGCTTTTCTGTCACTATTCCGTCCCAATCGAATGTAGTGAATACCTTGTTCAGCTTCTCAATTTGATTCATGAAAGTTGCGGAAGGTTTTGATAATTCACCCTCACTAAGATGGTCTATCCATGAATAAGTTTCATTCGAGGAACTTTTCAACCTCTCATCCTGCAATTTATTGCAAACAAAGCCGGCCAAACTTTCCAGCCCATCATACTCGAGCTCATCTATTTCTTCCATTAAAACTTGCTCGGTATAGTCAGCTGATACATCAGGTGCATTCAGTTTATTCTCGTTAATGATGCGGTTAGTGGTTAGTGGAATGTCTGTAGTATCCTCTGACTCTAAGCTGCAATAGATGAGAGTATGCGCCTTCGTTTCGCCCCTTCATATATGACCTTATTCTATACTTACACTCTAGAGCATTGATTCCCAAAGTGGTCTATATCGACCCCTAGGGGTCTATGACAACCTGCAAGGGGTCTACGTCAGCGAAAAAAAATTTGTGGGTCCATGAAATGAATATGGGGGTGGATCTCAACACATACACTGATAGTACCTATTTACTTACATCATACTATCTTATAATATCAAAACATATACATTATTTATAAAAGTACCTAAAAAGTAAAAAATGTATTATATATGTTTATAAAATTGTGTAAGTTGTAGGATGTTGGTATTCGCTTTGTGGTCGCAATACATTTTGAACTTGTAAAAACCTGAGAGTCGCAGTCTCAGAGCTTCGCTACCTTGCACTGACTTGTTCAATTCGTCACTCTATAAATACGAATGTGGGACAAATACGTTTATTCGTTTCCTGAATCTTGAAAAGGAAAGTGCTAAGAAAATATTTTAAAAAATATAAACAGATAGTATATCACACAAATTATAGTGAGTCAGTGTTATTTTGTTTGAGAGTGCTGGAGAAAAGTAAGTACATTATTTTTTATTAAATTTTAGTTTTGTACTCGTAGTTAGCAAAGATAAAGGAGAAAGTTTTAGCAATCGGTAATATAATTACAGTGCAATCTCCTTAATTCGAGCTAATTGTTGCAAGAAGATGTTCGAATTATGGAATGTTTTCGGAAAAATCAAAAAATATTTTTAATATACAGCTGCTGGATTTTCTGTCTTATTTAAGTAATTTAATTTTGCCCACAGATGACTGATGCCATGTCCGAATCTAAAAAGAAATGTAGACAGTACAGTGTTGATTATTTGAAATTTGGCTGCATTCCATCATTGCCGGAGAAACAATCGCCTATGTGCCTTTTATGCAACAAAGTTTTGGGCTATGATGCTATGAAACCATCTAAACTGCAAGATCATCTGAGAAGATGCCACCCTGATAAAACAGAGAAAGGTTTGAAATACTTTCAAACACTCAAAGATAAATTTCAGAAGAGACCTACACTGGACAGAATGTTCGCTTCGACGTCACAAAGAAATGATGATGATTTGCGGGCGTCTTACAATATCTCGTTACTTATAGCAAAATCCGGAAAACCGCATACTATCGGAGAGAAGTTAATTTTGCCAGCCGTTGAAGAGATTTTAAAAACTGTTTTACACAAACCTGCATCTCATATCATTAAAAGAATTCCCTTAAGCAACAATACTGTTGAAAGACGTATTGATGAAATGAGTTCTGATATTGAAAGCTTCTTATGTAATTATTTGCAAACGACCCATTTCTCTATACAACTGGACGAGTAAACTTTACCTGATAATGCAGCATTATTATTGGCATATGTTCGTTTTATTATGAATCAAGAAATCTACGAAGAACTGCTCTTCGCAAGAACTTTGATAACCGACACTAAAGGTGAATCAATATTTCACGTTTTGAAGGATTACTTCATTGAAAAAGCTATTCCTTTATCAAATATAATATCAGTAGCTACAGATGGAGCACCTGCCATGGTTGGACGTTATCGTGGATTTATAAGCTATTTAAAACAAAATGTGTCAGGGGTGCAATACATTGCGTCATCCATCGACAACATTTAGTTGCTAAAAATTTGAGTGTTAGATTGCATGAATCACTTCATTTAGTCATTGATGCAGTAAACCGAATCCGATGCAACGCGTTGAATACGCGGTTATTTGCGCAGTTGTGTGAAGAAAATGACGAACACTTTCATCAATTACTCCTTCACACTGAAGTACGCTGGCTGTCGAAAGATTTATGTTTGACAAGATTTTTTGCACTTTTTGAGACTATTTTAGAATTTCTGGATACTAAAGATAAAATTTTAAAAGAAAATTTAATGAAGAGGAAAACAGATATCGCCTATTTAACAGATTTGTTTACAAAATTTAATATGGTTAATTTTCAATTACAAGGCGACAGTTTAAATTTGATTAAAACAAAGTCCATCTTATCAGCGTTTCTTGCCAGAGTTAAACTAATGAAGCAAAATATTGGACGGGGCGAATTTTCTCAGTTCCCCAATTTGTCACAGACAAGCTGTCAGGAAGACGACGTTTCAACTTACGTTCAACATTTAAATGCCCTCTATTCAGATTTTGAATCTAGGTTTGAGGATATTTTGACTATGGTAATACCACCGTGGATAATTAATCCATATGGTGACATAGAAGAAACGAATGTCATAATACAAGAGGAACTGACTGAACTAAGTACAAACGAAGAACTTAAGGTTCAGTTTAAAAACGGATATCAGCAATTCTGGCTGCAAAACGACATTACCCGTTACTTTTCCCGTATTATGGAATATAGCGAGGAAATTTTTAATTTCCTTTCCATCGTCATACCTAGTGGAAAGGGGGTTCAGCGCTGTTACCAATCTCCTAACGAAAAAAAGAAACAGACTGGACATCATTAGCCGAGGAGATTCAAGATTAACCCTTACAAAATTGACGCCAAATGTTGATAATTTATTATTAAAGCATCAGGTTCATCCTTCTCACTCAAAATATTGACTTATTGCTTATGTTATTTTATTTATAGTTTATTTTATGTTTATCGGTGTCTGACCAATAAATGGCCGCATTGGGAATAAGTGCCCGCATTGATTCTTTTAAAAAAAAACCCTTTATAGAAAATATTTTTTTTTTAATTATTCTGAAAATTCAAGGATAGGTACACACTAAAATTCGTTAATTTTTGCCTATTTATAGATAACTTAAACGTATAAGAAGCGGAATTTAATCAAACTAACAGTGAAATTATTGTAGAACATACGTTTATGTTATAATTAATAAGCGAATTCGCTTATTGTACTATTTTAAGTAAAAAACTTATTATTTATTACTTTTCACTTTTTTTTATTTTATCCCTCTTATTTTTTTTTTTTTTTTTTCAGGCGGGCACTTATTCCCAATGCGGGCACTTATTGGTCAGACACCTGTTTATTTAATGTTACGTATATTTTACATAACAGATACAAAATTTTATTTTGAGTAGTTTTAATTTAAATTGAATTAATAAATGTATAAATTAACATGTGTTTTTACCTTTAAGTTTTTAACACTAAACTTCACTACAGTTAGAAATTTACAGGAAATCAATATCAGGTAAGTAGGGGGTCTACCCAACACGGAAAAACATGGCAAGGGGTCTACGACACAAAAAAGTTTGGGGAACCCTGCTCTAGAGGAATTGTATGGTCATGAAGACCATCTTTTGCTCTAATTACTCCGAAAAGGTTTTCTATCACATCTCAATTAAGACGTCTTATTAACATATATTGGACGCTGAAGCGTCGTTTCAGATTCTCTAGAGCATTTTCTAGCAAACCCTAGCGCTTTTTAAATTGACTTTGTCTTATATTTTTGTGAGATGTAGCCATTTTTTTGCTAAATTTTGGGTCTTGAGGAAAACTGTGGAACTTCATGTCTCTGCAAAGATTCCGTTTAGATTGATTGTCGAAATTACATCCCACAACAGCACACCGCTTTTTTATCAATTTATCAACCACACAGAGCATATAAGGTATGTATAACTAATACAAGTCACAAAACCACCAAAGAACACCAACAAATCGCACTGTATAGTAATCACGATACACGTGAACTGTAGTAACGTTACGACAATCCTGCCGCTGGTAACCACGAGCCGATAACTCTCCGGGTGACGTCACGAAGCTCCGCCCACATGCGCAATATCCTATCTTCATTGTATGTGTATCGTGCAGCCAGCCTGAGACCCTCGCGTATAGCTAATATGCGCGTGCGCTGCCGTACAGTGCCTCCGCTTACACACCGGACTGCGCACCGTCCTGCCCAGATGGCGGTTGGGCCCTAACAGCTGGAGCCCCAAAAATGGTGCCCCCTCCACCTGCGGAGTTTTACACAAGTGTGTGTTCAGACCGAGTAACGTCCCGGCCGAGTAATTCACTACTCTGCAAAACCGGGCATTCGGTAAAATGGGCCGAGTATGCCGAGTACCAGGTACATACCAAGTACTCGGGGTATCCCTACTAATTTTATATAGATGCCACGATCAAGGTAACGTTCATAAAATGACAAATTTTTATTTTTTTCTAGATGATAAGAGGAAAGAAGATCAATCAACGGAGGACTTCCATCCGTTCAGATCAAAACAAACTAAAGATGAAAAAGATGCCCCTCCAGATAGATTTTATCTGGTGTTCATGATATTCTTCTTCTTTGGAATGGGTATTGCTTTACCAGGACCTCTATTCATGAGAGCTCAAGACGTAAGTTTTCTATCACGATATTCGAGAGATACCAGCCACAAGAATAAGAGCATTCTTGTGATACAGTATATGTGGGTACGGAGTTTCGTCTTCTTCAAAACTGGCACAGCAATAATGCTCAGAAACTGATAAAAATTTCAAGGGCAATATTTTTTTAAGATTTCTCAGAATAAAGAGTCAAAACATTTTCGCTGCTTGTAGAACTGTAACACCCTATTTTGAAAGTTGATTCTGCGCTTTGAGCTCATGTATCAAGATGCGACCGATACTGTCAAGTCATCCGTTGCTAGAGTCATTAATTATGAGGTTAGAATATAATTTCTGTTTTGCTGCACCGATTTTTACAATCTCGGTTTCGTTGCGCTCCTACTCAACGCTCAATCTCGTCAAATTAGATCACTTTGTGGCCACTAGATGCGTTTAATGGATGTGTAACTGTTTTCTTTACTTCTTCCGAAAATTTCATAAATAACGCTATACTTTTTTAATTTTGTTTGAAAAAAGCATAAGAAATCCTATAAAATGGCGAAAACCACAGATCAAGATCTTTATCGTCATGGAGATGTAATGAAAAATATGCCTTCATTAAAATTTTCAGGTACTGCTGAAAAAAATGTAAAATTCAAACTATAAATTGTTACGTAAAATGTATCAATATGATACGATTTCAAGATATTTCACTTGAAAATTTATTTTTGCGCTTTTTGTGACCGATAGGGGTCGAAGGTGTCGCCTGATATATTAAAAAAGATACTTCAATTATACCTTATACAGGGTGTAAGGTTAGTAGTGGATCAACGGAAGTCAAGTGATAGAGGTCCTCAAAACCTATCGAATGAATCCCTATACGCGTGGTCCGAAATTTTGTAGTTCAGGAGATATTTGCAATTTAGTGAAATTTCGAAAAAAGCGGGATAATGAACTTTCAATCGCAATTACAACTAGGTTTAGGGTTGTGATTTTTTTCTGAGATGAACTAAATGGTTAGTTTTAGCAGTGGTTATATCACTTTTCAACAGAGCTTATTAGAAATAACGCAAAAAATCTTTAATTCATTTTTTTGTGAAAAATCTCTTCCGTCCTCCAACTTTAGAGGGCGGTAAAAAAAATTGAGGTTATATTTCATTATTCGTTTTAGTGTAAAAACTATTTCAATCCATGTAAAATGAACCCTGAAAATTTCAGCTTGCTACGATGAGTATATCATGTCACATTCGTTGTTGTGATGCGATAAACGTAAGAAACGCAATAGAATGCTTACCACCTACAAGTACAGCCTCTCTTTATGGCGATTTACCGACAAATGTGGAAGATAACTTAACTAAGTTGTCCTTTAGTCTTTGAAATGAATTTGCGTTTTCCATAATTTTTATTTTTGCTTCAATTTTCTGGCGCAGATATATATATATAGATATAAAACCCCCATATTAAAAAATCTAGACGATTTAAGTCGGGTAACCTTGAAGGCCATCGTATGTGTCCACCTCTACCTATCCAACGCCCAGGAAAGGCACCGCCCAAGTAACGCCGTACATCCCGTGAAAAGAGGCATGGAGCACCATCGCATTGAAAATACATGCGGCTTCGAACGTCCAAAGGTACATCCTCTAGCAGCTCATGCAAACTGCTTTGTACAAAAACAAGATATGACTGACCATTTAACCTGGCGGACAATTCATATGGTACAATTAATTTTTTGTTGAATACTCCACCCATAAATTAACGCCGAACTGGCGTTGAAAGCTATATGGGTGAATAGCGTGTGGATTTTCCACGCTCCATGAATGGAAATTGTGCATGTTGAATATTCCATTTCGGTTAAAGTTGGATTCATTTGTCCATAACATGCTGTCGAAGAAAGTTTCATCATCTTCGCATCTTCTCAACATATTCTCACAAAATTCAACCCGTTGTGCATAGTCACTTGGAAGCAATTCTTCTACTTTTCGTACATGGTAAGGATGCATGTTTTCCCGTAGTATTGTGTGCACTAAAGTTTGGGATATGCTTCTGCTTCGGGGAATGATTCTGGTGCTTATAGAGGGATTTTTCTCGGCTGTCTCTATTATAGCTATTATATCTATTATATTTTATTATATCTTATTTCTTATGGGCGTATCCTCGGCGCTCCTAGCTGGCGATGAGTGCCTAGTATGCGGTCCTCCATATGCGCATTATGGACGTGTATAAAAACGCAGTAGACGTGATATACCACCGGTTACCCGATACATGCGAGCAGCTGCTCGAGCATTTCCTAGGTCAGCACCATAATGGTAATGCATTTCTGCATAATCTCGCAGAGGATATGAAATGATTCTACTCAGGTGCCCAACGTTAGATACAAATTCCGCGCTGGACCATTGCCTGACTTAGTAATTTCGGAAGATTGAACGCTCACGCACCTGGAATGCCTAGTTGAATGCCCAAGCTCATTAAGCTAATTTGGCTATTTGCGTAAAAAATCCGCCATTTTGATTTTACAAAATGTTCATACACACAGTATCACTCGCACTACTACAGCGAATCTAACAGTACCTCATATGTCAAAAGCCATCAAGTCGTTTGGACTGTAGCTCGTAAAATAGAATTTCTTGTTTACATGTATAGATACCCACCTGCGTCAAACATACAGATTTTTTTAAGGTGAGGCACTTATCGTAGCATGCTGAAATTGTCAGGGTGTATTCTACATGGATTGGTGTAGTTTTTATGATAAAATGTAGGATGAAATTCAACTTCAATTTTTTTTACCGCCCTCCAAAGTTGATGGATGGAAGAGATTTTTCACAAAAAATGAATTTAAGATTTTTTGCGTTGATTTCTAATTAGCTCGGTTAAAAAGTGGCATAACCATTGCTAAAGTCAACCATTTGGCTCATCTCAAAAAAAAATCACAGCCCAAAACCTGATGGTTTAGTTGTAATTGCGAGTGAAAATTCAGTATCCCGTTTTTTTTTCGAAATTTCACAAAGTTGCAAATATCTCGTGAACTATAAAATTTCGGACCACACATAGGGGTTCATATTCGATATGTTTTGAGGCTCTCTATCACCTGACATCCGTTGATCCACTACTAACTTTACACCCTGTATTTTAACACTTCTAGGAACACTAGGAAATACCGAGCTTCTACGCTTGTAGTAGTTATATCTTGTAAGAGTGCAAATTATGAATTTTTTATCTCCCTTGTAATATTATACAGGGTGTTCCTTGATCATATGCGAATATTTAAGGGTATGAATCTACATGAAAAATTAATGTTAGTTTGCTTTATAAACTATGGTCCAAAAATGTTTCCGTACAAAAATTAAACACATTAGGGGTAATGAAAAACAACAACTGACAACATAAACATAACATTAAAACCAACGAAATGATTACAAAAAAATATTTCCCCCTTCACTTAGTATGCATGCTTCCGCCCTCCTTCTCATGGAATTGCGCACTGTAGTGTTTTTTATTCTATCACAAGCTGCAACTATTCTTTCTCTTAATTCCTCTACAGTGTTTACAGTATTAATGGGACTTGTGTATACTAGTGTCTTAAGGTAGCCCCACAAAAAGAAATCTAAACTGTTGAGGTCTGGGGACCTTGGTGGCCATTCTTGAGGCCCACCGCGGCCATTCCAACGATTTGGATAAACAGTTTGTAAATAATTACGAACCGCTACACTGAAATGCGCTGGTGCACCATCATGCATGTACCACATATTGTTTCTTATTACTAACGGAACATCATCAAGCAGCAAAAGCAACTGTTGTTGAAGAAAATTGAGGTAGGTATGTCCCTCAAGTCGTCCGGGCAAAAAGAATGGGCCAATAAAATGGTTGCCAGTAATTCCTATCCATACGTTGACCGAAAATTGGTATTGGAAATGGGTTTCGGTTACGGCATAGGGATTTTCTTCTGCCCACAAATGATTATTGTGGAAATTCTGCATGGCATTTGGAGAAAAATTAGCTTCGTCCTTGAACATTGATTCAAATTGCGGATTTTGTGTAAATTTTTGAAGATACCACTGACAAAAGGTCACACGCCTTGGAAAATCAATGGAAAGTAATGCCTGTATTCTTAAAATATGATAAGGATATAACAAAAAATCCACTAAAATTCTCCAATGTGATGGCAAATGCACTGCTTCCTCAATTTCAGGTGTTCTCACACTTAGACGTCTACCTTCAGATGTTCCTTTTCGGACAGAACCAGTTTCAACAAGACGACGATGAATATTAGAAAAGGTTCGACTATCTGGCAAAGCACAATCGGGATAGCTCTGGTGATAAATCCGTCTGGCTTGCTCACCATTACCGTCGGCAAGGCCATATACGCAATGCATTTCCGCCATTTCTGCATTTGAATAATTCACCATTATTAACAAGATCGTAAAAACTAAATAATGAAAAAGATGTCACAGCGAACAGATTTGAATAACAGATACTTGTCAGATGTCAAAAGCCAGTGACATATTCCAGAGCAACTAGATATTTATTGCTAAATTACATTCTTCAATTATTACATTAATTTTCACGGACAATAGAACGGTTTTTATTTTTTTACTCAAAAATGGCGCATCAAAGGAAAACAGTTTAAGAGTGATCATTTGTTTTAAATTGAACGGGGAATTCAATAATAATTTTTATTTGGCAAAAAACCGTTGGCGTACCATTTTTTTCTTAAAAAATATCGAAGTCGCACGCCACTGTTAAAGCTAAAAATTATTTTTCCATTGAAAAATATACAACTTTATTAACTTTCACTACGTACTAAATATATAGCGGCTACTTCGCTTAAAACACCGTATTAATAAAATCTTCGTCATGACATTCTAGAACAGAAACAAAAGAATAGACCAAAATAAGTTAGTGCAAACGTTAAAACTGTTGAAGTCGCATCGTTGTCAAAGTACTCTTGCGAATTACCTAAAACGTACATTAGATAGTGACTAATGGGCAAAGGTCCTACGGACCTCCCAGACAAACAAATGACGAATAGTATAGAAGTACCTAAAATGCCGCATTTGATATGCTTGAAGTCTGCTTTGAATGCATACAAAATGCAACTGTTGCTGTTGCCATAAGCTAGCGTTCAGCAGACTTGCCCAGCGACTAAGGAGTGCGGGAAATATCTGCCCTCCAGATATTAATACAAAAAGAAAGGCTCGTAGCTTGGAAAATGTAATGGCAATGTTAGACTACGTAGAAATTAGCAACCATTTCAGCACAAGAGATACCTGTAGAGGTTCAGGCATTACTAGATCAAAATGAGGGACGAATACTCAGAGAGCATAAGTGAATATGCAGAAATCGTAATTCTCAATACGCAGCCAAACAGAAGTTATATTATATAAGTTTTCTGAAATGACATTCAACTCTTCCCCACGCTAAATGAAACAAAATATGGAAAAATGACGTTGAGAAAGAATTTCGAAAATTGAGCAATCAGATTAATAGATTTATTAAATCAGTACGTTAGTTTCGCATTTTTGCAAAATAATAGCGATTCAATTTTTAAAATTATTGGGTAACCCGTACATATACTTTAATATATTCTTCTTCAGAAAAGGAAGTTTGATATAGAATATACGGTTTATGTTGCTGCTTGTGGAACCACTACAGTTTGGACAAGCAACATCTAAATTACAGTTTTTCTCAATATGACCCAAACCACTGCACTTGAAGCAACGAAAAACTCTGAGATGATCAGTGACAGTGCACTTGCTCGATCCAACATATATACTAAGTGACATATAAATCCGAACACCCAGTTTAAATGGTTTTATTTTAATAAAAGTTGGTGAATGTATTTATCTTACTGTAAATAACAAGTGAAAAAAATTTCAGCCTTATCAGTTGGACATTCCGGTTTTTATACCGCTTTTTTTAATTCACTAACGCTCTAAAATGAATATTTCAGCCGCAGTAAAGAATCAACGTTGGCGGATTTTGGTTCTTGACATCCTTTACGATCGGTTACGATGCCTAGAGCACGGAGACCTGTACGATTTCGTCAACTTAGTGAGTTTGATAGGGGCCGTATAGTGGGACTTCGGGAAGCTGGACTTTCTTTTCGGGCAATTGCAGTTAGAGTGGTTAGGTGTTGTCAGGCATGGCTTCGAGAAGGCCGTACGCAAAGAGCAAGGGGCACTGGACGCCGCCGTAGAACAACAGACCGTGAAGATCGCCGCCTTAAGGGACCGTTTCTCCACTACCAGGTCCATTGCAAATGAATGGTTTGCAGAACACGGAAGACCTATTGGCATGCGAAGTGTTTACCGACGAATGAGAAGTTTTGGCTTGTTTTTATACCGGCCACACTGGGTCCTCCCTTTAACTCGAGAACACCGACGTAATCGCCTTGAGTGGTGCAGACAACGGTCACTCTGGGATCAGGAATGGAACAGTATTGTCTTTAGTGACGAGTCTCGATTTTGTTTAGGCATGCACGATGGTCGTGCCAGGGTTAGAAGGCGACGTGGTGAAAGGAGGAATCCACAGCTTTTTGTTGAAAGACATGTTCATCACACTGTTGGAGTTATGGTTTGGGGTGCTATAGCTTATGGTTCCAGGTCACCTTTAATCTTCATCAGAGGTAACATGAACGCGCAGCGTTATATCCACGAAGTTCTAGAACCCCATCTTCTACCCTATCTTGACACCCTGGCAGACCCAACTTTCCAACAAGATAATGCCCGACCACATGTTGCAAGAGTCACAATAGACTTCTTTCAACATAATGATGTCACATTGTTACCATGGCCACCAAGATCTCCCGACTTATCCCCAATTGAGCACGTGTGGGATATGATGGGTAGGATATTGCTCAATTTGCAACGTTCTCCTCAGACTCTAGAAGCACTTCGAGAGGAATTGGTGGTTGCCTGGAATGAGATACCACAGGAGGACATTGACCGCCTGATCAGAAGCATGCCTAGGCGCGTTGGAGAATGCGTAGCACATCAGGGTGCATCCACACATTATTAAAGGTCAAAGGGCTCTAAAGCAGTGCAATCATTTTGAAATTTTTATCATTTACTTATTATGCTTCATTAAGTACTTATACAAAATTTTATTAAAATAAAACCATTTAAACTGGGTGTTCGGATTTATATGTCACTTAGCATATTTAAAAAAATACGCTTCTAAGTCAATTTTAAGAATGAGTATAAAACTCTTCGTCAAAATTGGTTCCGTAACCCATAGTTTCTCGTCATTTAAAAATTTTAGATATTTTTCATCAACTATACAGAATGTTTCCAAACTCAAAATTTACTTTTTCTCAAAAGAATCAAATAGAATAACGTATATATTTTTACGGTTTTTGGGTGCTCCAATTACCAAATTAAATTAAGTTGTTTTGCAACTTTCCAGAAATTACAATTCGAAATAAATAAATACCACTTTACGCATATCAAGGGAAAATGTTTAGTGGTTGTATGATTATTTTTTAAAGAAAAAGCTCATTCTGCGTTTTACGTTTCATCCTATATAGTTGATACGTAAAATTCAAAAAAGGTTTAAATCACGAGAAACCAGAGGATATGAAGCCCATTTTAACTACTAGAAATTATGTTATATCAAACTACTTCCTTTGGAAATGATTTTCAAAGTTTACTAAAATATACGTGGTATTATACTATTTAAAGGAATGCATAGCTGTGTTACGAATCACCCTGTAGCTAGCGGCATATTTTCCAAATAGCTAAGCTCACCCTGTATATGGGTATAAGACTACAAAAGTCGCTATTCAATGTCGCTGTCGCAGCGTGGAACAGAACCCTAATGCTCGCTCAAGTTTCTTGTTCAAACTGAGTACGTGTTGTCTGTCTCTAGTACTGGATGTTCAAGTTTCGCAACACAAGCATTGACCATGTGGACCAAAGGAACAGAACAGAGTTGCAGAAAGAGTTTGTAACCTTGGGAAACATATTCGACATTGCTCCCTCCTTGCTGACACTGGCAGTAGTGAGCATTTTTGGGCACAAGGTTGCACCTAGAATCAGGATATTGGGGTCCATGGGAGTCATTTGCTCGGTGTCTGTATTCCACGTCATATTTTCCGAGGTCAATACGGATACATGTAAGTATTTACTTTCCAAATCCTCTGTTTACAATGGGCAAGCTAGAAAGCCTTTTAAGTCGTATAGGTAACATCAGCTCTAAATAGCCAAAAAGATAGCATTTTGTTACATCACTAGGACTTTTCTACGTGTTTTCACAGTGGTTCAAACATGATTAAAAAAAAAGATAATAGTGGAAGACATATTTACGAAAAGTTGTATGTTTTAAAGGAAGTAGTGTACTTCGATCGATATTGTACTTATAATTTACAGCTGAAGGCAAATAAGGTACTTCTTTCTCTTAATTGGCAGCACCTGATAGTGACGTCAAATCAGAGAATTTTCCCGAATTGAAGAAACTAATTGATTTTCCATTATGGAAAAACTGCTTACTTATCTATCAAGCAGTTCTTGATATTTTGGTTATTGGAGGTTAAGGAATATTTTTGCAAGAATGTTTTTGTAACAATTAAGGGGGTGTTATCGAATCTCGCATGCGACACTTGACTTCTATTTTTGTGACTCTGGTCCCCGTTTGTTACTGTCCTATCACTTTTGTTAAAATATTTGATTTTAAGACGGATGTTCGAAAAATGTGGTCAATAACGAAGAAGGAAGTCATTATTTTCAAGCAACTCATACATCCAGATTGTCAGCTGCCGTTCTATCGAATGGTGATATAATTACGAACGCGAGATTTAGTCGAATGAAAAATGTCGGGTGTGAGTTTCGTGTGACATTTTAGCTATCTGGCATGCGTCAATGACCATTCGACATTTGAGAACACCCCGCCTCCTCAGCATACCGATCACATATTAAAGCAATAATCTGAATGATTCCACTCTAAATCACATCTTTATTGAATGCTGCTTGATGAAGTACATAGATACTTAAGAAATTCTATTTCATATGTTTCAGGGCAGCGAGGTTTTTTGATCCTATCCTTATTCATGAACACTATCAGTGGTGGTAAGTTTCAGACACGCAAACCTAAAAAATACCTACTTATGTACCGTAGGGTTACGGTCGGTCTTCAATCCTTTCAAGCTTGGCTACACATCTCTTCAGTACAACATCACTTAAAAAGTCAGGACTAGAAGCTTTGTTCATGTCAAGCGACAAGAGTCGGTTAGAATTATACCACACAGGCTTTGATAAAAGTTACCAGCATCTTAAAAAAATTCTGAATGGGAGCGGAAGTCTCTAAAACGTCTAGAAACGGCGTTTGATCGTCTTTGTTCCGTTCGTCTTTTGCCAGTAGTTCCGGTTAACTGGACCGATTTCCAGGTTTTTGTCTTAAGCTAAGTTTTTTCAAAATTTAATCAGAATGTGAGCGATACATTCCATATTATAGAGAAACCAGCGATCAGCGAACAGACATACAGACAGATCGATAAGCAGGCAGACAGACTTTAGGTTCACCTTTTCATAGAGAACTAGCAAGTAACTGACTGGTATCTATTGAAACCCTTCTATAGAAAATTGAACGTAACGTCCACGAAAGCCCAGTGGATATATTTTCCCTGCGACTGCGCCTAAAATGTATCTCAAATAAAAAAATGTTTGATTTGTCGGTAACGAGAAGTTGGTTTTTGCCATCGCCAAATTCGCTGTTGACCATTGCAAGCCAGAAATTGCAAAAAAATTAGTTTCCATTTTACAATTGCTTTTGCTGGAAAAAACCAGTAACAGTAGTACGCTAGGAAAATTTAGCACTAAATCCCAGGCAAAAATGTATGTAGTTAGAATTTAATATACTTTAAATTTCTCTCAATGGATTTCTCTCCTTTATATGTCCATATTTATTGTTGATATGTCTCTTTGATATCACTGTTTCTAATAATAATTTTCATCATACGTTGATACTGACATGTAACATTGTTTCTTCAAGTTAGGCTGACATTACCCAAGTTTCTCTTTTTCCTCCTTTAAAGTATTGCGTCTGCCCATTATATAAAACTACCTATAATTTTTTACTTTGCATTAAATGTTTTGTTGTTCAAAACCTAATTTATTGCTCTTACACCAATTTGTCACAACGCAACTAATATAATATGACAAGTTTATATTGATTATATTTGAAGTGACTCGCTCCTTCCACGATATTTGCCTATATTTATTTGTGTATCGACGAGTTGAGAAATACTCCAGCGTTAACCAGGCCGAGTCGAGAAGTGGTCTAGGTGGCATTAGATTCATCTCGCTGACGCCGAACACTTTCAAACGTGAAAACTCAAGTCATCAATGAACTTGCATTCACTCATGCACAGCCGCGTAACTCTGGTTGCCTAAGCGTCGATGTTTCTGAACAAGAAGTCTTTAACAGTATTATGTCCCTGAGAAATAAGAAAATCTCAGGATATGATGAAATAAGAGCTGAACATCTGAAGATGATGGCGAAGCAAATATCAGAACCATTTGCTTATGTTATAAATAAGTGTCTACTATCTGGAATATTTCCCTTAGCTTTTAAATCAGTTGTTATCATTCCTGTATACAAAACAGGCGATAATATGGCCGTTACCAATTATCGACCAATATCACTCATATCGACTTTGGCTAAGGTATTCGAAAAATTACTCTCTGGTAAGACGATAAATTTCCTTGATAAATTCAAAATTCCAAGTCCAAATCAATTCGGTTCTGTGTCAGGAAAATCTACCACCGATGGTATACTAAGTCTAGTGAATCAAATTACGCAAAACCTTGATTAGAAAATGCCATCTATTTGTGTATTTGTTCGATACAGTTAATCACAGTTTACTGTTAAATATTTTAGACTAAAATTAGGTTTTCGTGGGGAAAAATGTTGTTTGATACAAATTTATTTATCAAAAAGGCCCCACGTAATGAAACTATTAAAATCATACTCTAGAAAAGTAACCGTGAACTTTGGAAAACGAATTTTCTACCCTTCACATCACACGCAAAACTACCCGATTATTCAAACCTTTTCTTCAAAATAAACAATACAAATTTAAAAATTGACTAAGTGAGCAATATGTAATATTTAGGAATTTTGTTAGGCCAACATTTAAGGTGGGACATTCATGCAGCCTACATTTTGAAGAAAATACGATTTGTTACATACAAAATTAGATTCCTCACAGGCATATTGACAGAATTATATGCGTACTATATATACAATGCCTTAATTGAGCCGCACCTCATGTATGGTACATTAGCATGGACCATGTCCAGTGTATTAAAGACCTGTTTTGAAAACTATGTTCGGAAAACCAAAATTATATGCAGCAAATGATTTATATAACGAAACAAAATTATATGATATCCAGCAACTTTATTTTTTACATCTCCATCCAGCCATTATCACAAAGTTATTAGTGAGCGCGATAACATCACACATTGCCATGACACTCGATATAAATCACAAGCAAAAACTGTCCCTAAATCTCATAAAACCATAATGAAGCGATCTTTTCTCTATTTTGCTACAGTTCCAGTTATACGAGGGCATTACAATACTGCCTAGTTAAATTTTCCATCTTGTTATAAAATTACTTAGTTATCAAAATCTTTCCTCGCTAGCAGTAGCGTACGACGAGTTATGCTAATATCTTCCGTTTTCATATAATGTTGTTCACTAATTAACGGTTTGTCTCCATATTATTGGATTGCGTATTCGAAAAAAGGACTTCAATGTTGTAAGAAGCTTGTAATGGTTTTAATTTGTCATATAATATTCTTTGTGGTGCCTCCTGTTGATCAAAATGAGCATTTTCGAAAGCTTGATATGAACAAAGAACAAACTTTCTAACCTTCATTTCTTTGCGATGTGGTTGCAAACTCAAGCCTTTGTATATACAACGTGTCCCATTTTGATCTCTCCACCTAAATATTTCGAAAACTATGCATCCTGGAAAAAAGATTCATATAAAAGTTGTAGGGTTTCGAGGAGACAAAATAATAGTGACCTTGACCATGACCTTCATCAAGACCCTAAAGATCATCTCGGAGTCAAGTGAATATTTTCAAATGAAGCCTCCCCTTTTTTACACCGGAATTGGAAAAAGGAGGAAATTCGACATTCGAATATAACCTTGACCATGATTATAACTATGAGCTTTAAGGCCATTTCAAGCTCAAGGGAAATCTTTGAACAATTTGCTATACTGGAAATATTCTACAGCACAGTTGAGAGGTCAGTTCAATGTCAAGTCGATGTTTTCAAAGAAACTCCTCCATTTTTATCCTAGAATAGAAAATTGCAGAAAATACTACGTCCGAATGTGACCTTGATTTCAAAGTCAAGACCTCGTCACTCTTAAATGTTATTATTTGTATAGAAACCTATTTATTTTTATGCCAAAATGAGCAGAGAGTAAAAAATTTATATTTAAACGTGTAAATTTTTTGCATGTCGTCGAAGGTGATGATCAAGTGATAATGTTTACAAATGTGCTGTCGAACATTTTTGCTGGGGAACATTATTTTCTATGTCTTGATGTAGCCTAAAAAATGGCCTTGAAGGTCATGCTGATAGTCATAGTCAAGACCATAAAGGGGGTAGAATTTCCTCCTCTTTCCAATTCCGGTATAAAAATATTCACTTGACCTTGAAATAACCTCAAAGATCATGGTCAAGGTAACGCTCAAGGTTACTATAATCGAAACTCTAGAACTTCATTTCCTAAGATGGGTCGTTTTTGAAACATCTGGAATGAGAGATCGAAATGAGACACGATGTAAGGGGTATCGGGGAAACCTTGACCTATCTTCTGAATACATGTCACCTCTCTATACCGTACCATACTAAGATCTTACTATGAAGGTAGTCATTTTTTTGACATCACAGGATCTTTACGTCACTGTGGATCTTGGTACAACCTTTGGATGGCGGCATCCCAAAGACGGACGGGGGAGCTGAAAGGAAGAATGAATAATCAGTTTTTGGAGGAAAAGCGGGAGAAACATGTTCCTCTTGTTGCTTTTCATCCAAACTATGATAGCAATAATCACTCTGGAAACCCCTTGCAGCACAAGAGTGTTATAAAAATTAGTCATTTTGATATTTGTGTTAACAGTTGTCGTGACACAGAACGCTTACGAAACTTATATTAAACGGGGCCCATATCAGTACAAAGACAGGAGGAGTTTTGGGTGTATAACCGGTCGATAGCTTCATTATTTGAAAATACGTGTATAATGAAAAAAGTTAATTACCAAAAATGTAGTTAGCTGCTTGGAAAATATGCCACCCTCTACATGGTGATTCATATATACGCAGCAGCGCAAACATCCATTTATAATATTTTGAAAGATCTCTCCAAAAGTATATATTTGGTATAACATCGTTATTTCTGGAGCTATGAGATATTTTCCCCAAAAACACTCAGCTTTGACCGCTTGTAAGTCAATAAGTTTTATATATCCCAGAGTTTTTCAACTGGACTTTTTTTATTTTTTTTTGCATCAATATTCGCAAAACCTACCTTTTTCCAAGAAAATGTCATGGAACGCCCTGAATGTTTTTGAGGTTTTTTGTTTAAATTTCCGGGAGGTGTGATTACTGAATGTTTGAGTTATTTGCAGTTTCCGACAATTAAAAGTAAAATTTTGACGAAAAGTTTGCTGGTCTCTGTCTCAAAAAGTGACTGACTTTCAAGCTATTATATCAAGCGTAATCTTTTGAAGAAATCTTTCAGAATATACTAAAACATTCCATCCAAAAAAAGAATGTTTGTATTGCCAGTTGCACACCCTGTTGAGCGGTATATCTTTTAAAGCGCTAATAATTTTAGTAAATAACAGAGCTGTCGCCCGATTACATAAAAAAACACCCTGTAAAAGACGACTGATCTACTGCTACATGTCCCTGTTGGATTTGATCCTGGTAGGAGGCGGTATAGTGAGCAGAGATATTAATATCATATTTTTTCAGCTGCCGTGCTTGTGTTCACAGTGTCGAACATAGCGCTCTTCTCTAGATTCCCACAAAATTATTTAAAATATTACATGTATGGCAATGCATGCGGTGGTATTGTGACAGTTATTTTGCAATGCATTTCCTTGGCCATAGGGAGTTCGCCACAAAGCACAGCTCTCATATATTTTTCTGTTGGTAGTGTCATATTTCTGTACACTCTGTTCCTTGCCATCATCAGTTCCAGATTACTTCTTTATCAGTAAGTACAAGATCTACTGTATTGAAATTACATCAATAATGACGCCAAGTTGGTTTACTCCACCTCCCACACAAAGCTGTCATCAGTTCATAAAAGATTATGTTCGGCACCAATTAGCCCCTACGAAAAAAAGATACCAACAGGTATAAAACATTTAGATGAATCTAGTCAATCAAAGAGGCCTACAGTTAATTCATAGTCAATATCCATTTGTAAACGTTGCGGTCTAGAAACCGGCATTACCGACCATCTGGCGACGTTGCTGTGGCTAACCACGTCACTCGCCGGACACTCATTGGTCAAACATCGGTCAGACCTCGACGTAGGTATATCTATGTTCCTTGCGTTGCAGCGACGCTTGTGTTGGAAATATCTCAAGTTTTGAGGGCAAACATACAGGGAAACCTACGAGTATATGTGAAATACGTCTTTAAGGTGCGTAGGGGCTGGAAGCATATAACTAGCTATATTAGAGTAAAAAAATGAAATATACCCCCTACAACCCCCAACCCCCAATGTTTAAGCCATATCTTTTTTTTCTGGAAATCCACTTAGGAAGGGGTCCGATTTAGGGCACTTCCCTCTAATAATTCGAAAATAATTCTTTTTAGGTACTATATGGATGAAAGCATTGAGATAGTGAAACCTGTGTACACATTCAGGGAAGTGTGGGATGTAACCAAGAAGCTATGGGTGAATCTCGTTAATATTGTGGTTAATTTATTTTTCGTAATGGCCGGAGTGCCATATTTAGTGATATCCGAGAATGCAGGAACAGTATTTGCCGGTGAGTTGAATATTTGATGTTACTTAACTATATATAAAGCTGGCGCACAAAATTCATGACAGGTTACAAGAAATTGGTGTATTTTGGGCTAACGAGGCGGAATTGAATAGAAAACATGGACATTAAGTTCTGCTAAGCAGATTATTTGAATATTCAAAAATTCTTTACTCTCATACATACGGGGTGTTTCAAATTCGACGCTCATCATTGGGATCTCTGGAACGGTAAGAGATACGAAGTTGCTCACTTAAGTAATTAAGCAAATGGAACTTACAAAGTTTCGCAATTCCGAGTATTTCCGGCAAAAATTCGCTTTTCCAAAGATCGTTTTTATTTTTTCTGTCTTTATTTGATATGAGATTTCAAAATAAAAACTTTATCTCTTGGGCTCAATCATCAAATTTATTTTTTCTTGACCGAGTCATACAGGATTTTCACAAGTATAAATAGTTTTTCACAATGCTTCTATAAATGTATAATAATCATACATTGGCATTGCCAAACCTTTGTTATTTACAAATTTTTCCTAAGTAGGCCTTATTTCATAACATCTTCAGCCAAGCATTTCTTCAGCTACTAGGTATAGGTGAACAGTCCCTATTTTCGGTTTTAATGATGCGACTTGAACTGCTATAAAAACTCAAATTTCTAAGAAAGTAATATTGTTGATCTTACCTCATCAAAAAAAGAACAACCTAATGCTAAAACTATTTTTCATATCACTAAAGGCTCATATTGACAATATTGAAAACAGTATTATTTTATGTACAGTTTACCAAAGAAAAGTGACTCCCAAATACACTGTCTAAAGCACTGTGTCCAGCCTCGAACCCCTAATCAGACTCTATAGCCTTGACACACGGCTTTGCGTATAGCTTTTTGCTGTCCGATTTGGGATTTCTACTATCTGAAACCGTAGCTTTGCCAGTGAAACAGGAGATGCACTAGGGTTTCCTCATTCTTTCTGCAGAAACGGCATGCAGCATGTTCTGTCAGACCCAAGGTCACGATATGTTGATTCAGACGACAGTGTCCTGTCAGGAGACCCACTGACCCTTATGGCCTTCCTATTAAATGCGAATAAGTCCTATGTAAATACAAGCCTCTGTTCTTTGATGAATTCCTTTGCCTGCATTTGCCTTAATTGGCTGCCCCACCATTCTAGGGCCCAATTTCTTATGGACTGTCTAGTGGGTGTTCTCGTCACGCCTCAGAAAAGCTCTGGACCTATAAGGCGATTGGTCGCATCCTGTCGGGATAGGGTATCCGCCTTTTCATTTTCTTTGTGCCCTTCATATCCTGGTAGCCTGAGCAATGTCACCTTGTTTCGGTTTCCTAGCTCTTTCAGAGTGTTCTCGCCATACTCCTGTTAGCTCTTCTACGCAGACTTGTATGACCGTTACTTCAGCCTGAAATATTGTTGCGATAATACCTAGACTTATAGAGGCTTGTCCCATAACTCCCAGCTCCAGCTCTGTCTTCAATTTTCGAGCCGTCTGCTTTTGGCATGTATAGGAGGTCCTTTATCCCACGCATTCCTTTCTGGTACTAATGTTTTTTTAGTTTTTATCGAAACTGTAGACTGAAACAATTGGGTCCGTGGTCATTACCAACATAGGATCTGCCTTCAACTCTGTGTGCACTTTTTGATGATCTTTTCCGTGCTGCCGACTGATCGCTGATTGGCCTTGAGTTAGTATGAGAGCCATGCAAAGAGCTTTATCCTGAATAAATTTCTGCAATTTTGGTAGGTCAAGAAAGACATCCAACGCTGCAATGGGAGCCGCATGCATGGCCCCCGTGGCGTTCAAGCAAGCTAGCCTCTGTAAATCACTTAATAGCCTTTCCGCTCCCGACTGTGTAGTCTTTGTCCACCAAGTCACTGATTCATCGGTGATCATGGGTCTCACCACCCTCGTGTATAACCACATGATCATTTTTGAGTTTAATCCCCAGTTTCTCCTATACATCTGTCTACACCTTGCTAGTGCTATTGTAGCTATCTGTGCTATTGTGTTGATGTGAGAGTTCCTCGTTAATATTTGGTTAAAAATGTCTCCAAGACATTTTGCTTCATGACAGAAGGGATCTCTCCACCTTGCACCTTGCAGGGTTAGTGGCGTGAGGTCTTCTAGTATCCGCCTTCGTGTGAAAGTGGCGACGGTTACCTTGTGCAATTTTAACGCTAAGCTTTCCATCCTGTATCACCTGTCGACAACATTCATGGCTCTTTGGGTGCATTCGGAAATAGTCCTCGCCAACGAGCCTTCAACTTGGACTACGATATCGTCGACATACCCCAGGCACCAGAAGCCTTCAACAGTAAGTTCTTGAAGAAGTATATCTACCAGGACTGTCCATAAAAGGAGAGATAGCACTCCTCCCTAAGTACATTCCAGACTCACCTGCGCTTCAATGGAGGTGTCCCCTGCTATAGTCGTAGTAGTATTACTTTTCAGGTCGGCTTCTATCCATTGGCATAGCGCGGCTGGAACCTCCTGCGGTGTAACACGTTTACTAACGATTGTGTTTTAGTGTTGTTAAACGCACCTTCTCTGTCTAGGTTGCTATTGCTTGTCATCTAATGCCTTAGATAGCAGCCTGCATAAGTCATCCAGAGCCGAATCAGTTGATTTCCCTAGTTGATATGGATATTGATGATTACTGAGAGGGTGCTTCATCTGTTATGTACCTATCTACCAATCCCTTCACAATTTTGAGGAGGAACAATGTCAGGCATTTTGCCCTATATGATTAGGCTAATAAGTCTGATACGCTGCCTATTTTCGTACGGTAGATGGCCTTTACCTTCATCCACATACAGGGAAAATATTTCCAACTAGATGCAGGATAAGCAGCTCCTGCCTCCTGCCCCTGTTGCAATAGAACAGGGTATATATGCCATCCACTCGTGGGGATTTGAATGGCTGGAATTTATTTATGGCCCATTTGACTTCGTTATCGTCGTCGCCAGCATCCAGTCGCCAGCGGTAGGCCTCTCTGGTTTTTTCCTCCGGCTCTGAACACTGTCTCCCGTGACTGGTCCCCACGATGGTCCTGGAAAGAGTGCCTTTGTCAGCAATTCAATACTTTTCACGACTAATTTTGAGTAGTAGGTCTCATCATTACTTTTGATGATGATACCTACATCTGTCACTCTACATGTCCCCAATAATTTTATATAACTCATGGAAACGTTTTGGAGTAAATGAAAGCCTCGAAGATGTAGAAGCTCAATCAGCATATTTTATATCTGTCACGTTTAAACCGATGCACATATCTCACATTCAAATACTGCACGCCTCCGTCGTGCTAAATAACGCTTGTTATAGTTCATAACGCTTCTCAGAAATGACATAATATAAACATGTGATAAACTGTCATTCTCGTAGCCAACTATGACAACATTAGCTTTTTGACAAAGTCAATATATAACATATTATACTTTTCTGAAGTCAGAAAAAAAACTACGCACCCATGCAAAAATCCAATATAGTGCCTACAAGAAAAAATTGATCGAATCCAAGAGACGAAACGTCGTATTCAAATTCTAATTAAACCATCTTGTAGAGGAGAAAAAGTGGCAACGTTGAAAAAATAAAAACGGGTTTGAGAAAATTCGATTTCTTTCGTCTATCTCCGGAAACATTATACGTTTCATTTCTTCAGTTACCTAAATGCGCAGCTTGCCCCCTTTTAACCGACTTCATAGCTCTAACCGCTTTCGATATCCCAACGGTGAGCGTCAAATTTGAAACACCCGAGTGAAAACAGATTTGCCTTCAGAATGTTGAATACCCTGCATATTTTCCGGGCAATGACGTGAACGCTCAACCGAGTTGGGCAATGTTGATGAAAAGCAATATAAGCGCGCTGTTATCATTATTGGTCGGGAAATGACGTTAATTTCACACTTGTCACAGCTACATATGTTTCTCCTCTCCGCAATGATTAGAAATATACTCTGAAAACGTTAGTTTCTCATAGATGACGGGGCTGTAGCCAACTGTATGAGCATATATGAGGTTTCAATAATATTTGTTTTACCCTGATTGTTATTTTCCATTACCGTTCACCCTTTCATCATAATTGCCCAGTCCCCTTCTTGGCCATTAACCGTCAGTGGCTGGACAAAGACGTTTAAATCAGAATATTAACAATATTGCCCACCCACAATGGGCAAGCGTCAATGTCCAATTGTCGTCACTACACGTAACATATAAATATATTAAACATTTTTGGATCCAATTGGTCATTTTATTTGCAGATAAATATTTTGTGCCTGTCTGTACATTTTTACTAAGCGACTTATGTTCGCTTGGTGGAAGAGTAGTATCTGGACCATATATCACAGTGAGTATATCGTCATTAACGTAAAAGAGATTAAGATCTGATTTTATACAGATTTACGGATATAAATCCAAGCCAAGTTCTTTTCGTAAATAAAAGCGAGCCGTCTGCAAAACCAGCACAGCTCAGTAACTACTGTACGGAGTTTTATTATATAGGGTGTCCCAGAAATAACAGCCAGAGTGATACTGGAGGTAGATTGGCTTCAGATCGATTGGATAAAACCAACAAGACCTTAGTAAAAGTTTTTATAGTTTCTAGTTTTTGAGATATTGCCACGTGCTCTACTGAGCGAGGGCCGTGGCAAATGCTTGTTCCGGAAGTTGTGTATCCAGTATACAACTTCTTCCCGTCCAAGTGATTGTACACGCGTTAAGGAATACCACCGATTGCCGGGTGGCGGTACAAGTCCGCCAACGGGCCACTTTAGATCTATTTAATATCACTAACACGTAAAAAGAAGGTGGTAGACAAGGACCAGTCGACCGAGGCGGTACCACTCGCTAGCTTTTCCCAGGGTGTCTTATAAATGTCCGCATGTTTCCACACCTAAGCTGTACAGTCGGTTATCTTCTAAAACAAAGAACTTAATGATGACGGATCCCTCGAGCACTAAGAACTCCGGACGTAAACTCACTCCACTCTCGGAATGTCCGGGTGGAGGGTGGGCTCGAGGGAACAACATCGAAGATAAAATTTGTTTTTCGAACATCTGCGGGATCAACAGCAACATTGATGCTGTTCATCACTACCTGCAATCCAATCGTTCCGCCGTGCTTTTCATGGCGGAGACAAAAATCTTAGAGTTTGCACCGATTAACCATCTAAACTTCTCAAACTACGAGGTGCACTACAATCTGAGAAAGAACGGGGCAGTTGTGGCTTTTGTCCGCAGCAGACTTTCCTGCTCCAGAGATGTTTCTTTGGAATCAGACCGGAAGGACATTGTGTGGCTTCGCCTCAACTCCAAAACATCACCCAAATTTATTTGCTGCCTTTATCGCTCTTCCTCGGACCATAACGAGGATGACCTACTCGAATACCTGGCCGTCCAGATCGACTTTCTGAACATCAAACACCCCGCTTCAGAGGTAGTTCTCGGTGATTTCAATGCCCATAATGAGCTTTGGTTGGGCTCAAACAAGACCGATGCAGCAGGTTGTCCAATCGAAGCATTCGCTCTTACTCAAGGGCTGACCCAGCTGGTGACGAGCCCTACTTTTTCCACCGCGTCTCGTCACACGCCAGTAGCCTGCTGGATTTCTTTCTGACCACGCATCGTGTCCCTTACAACAATGCTGTCCTGTCCCCCCTGGGTAACTCAGATCACGGTGTTGTGGAGGTTAGGTTTCGGTCAGAAGCCGCTGTGACAGCAGAAACTCGTACAGGCCGCAAAACTTGGCATTACGGCCATGCCGACTGGGAGGGGCTCAGAGACTTCTTCTCTAGCTTTCCTTGGAGAGATGTCTGTTTCACTGACGCGGATGCGTCGACTGTCTGTTCTTCGATAACCGAAATTATCCACGTCGGAATGGAGGAATACATCCCTCACACAGTGAAAGTTCCTAAACCAGGGTCCAACGGCTGGTTCAACAAATCGTGTGACACTGCTCGCCAGCAGAAGATCAAGGCACACAGAACCTACTTACAAAACCCCACTGTAGAGAACAGACAAGCCGACGTCGAGTCCACAAACAAATATAACGAAGGGGTTCGCAATGCCAAAAACCAGCATGATATAAAAGTTAGGCACAGGGTAATGTCGCAGCGCAATGGCAGTCGGTCTTTCTGGACGCTGGCCAAGCAGATTGAAAAGAACTTCTCACACAGTAGCCTTCCACCACTTACGTGTCAGGATGGAACTATTATATTCGAGTCAAAGGCCAAGGCGGAAGTGCTAGCCAAGATCTTTGCTGCCAACTCCACCATGGACGTCCCCACCAACGCGCAAGTGCCGTCAATTCAAAGGGTTCCCCACACTATGCGGGAGGTAACATTCGGGAATAAGACCGTAAGACGAGTGCTTTTGGTCCGGACTTGATTCCTGCCATTGTACTGAAGAGATGTGCAGCGGAGCTTGCTCCAGTTCTTTCGCGTCTCTTCCAGATATCTTATGAATCCGACACCTTCCCAGAAAACTGGAAATTTGCTCATGTACAGCCCATCCCAAAAAAAGGATCTAAGACCGACCCTTACAACTACAGGCCTATAGCTCTGCTTTCTGTTATAAGTAAAGTGATGGAGAGGTGCATAAATCACGAGCTTCTGGACTACCTCGAACGTCACAGCTTGATTAGCGACAGGCAGTACGGTTTCCGGCACCAACGATCCACAGGGGACCTCCTAGCTTACGTCACGCAACTGTGGAGTAAGCTCATCCAGTCTCATGGTGAGGCTCATGTCGTTGCTCTTGACATCACGAAAGCGTTCGATCAGCTGTGGCACGCTGCCCTCTTAAGCAAACTTCCATCCTATGGCCTCCCAGAAAAGCTTTGCAGATGGGAGGCTGACTTTGTCTCTGGCCGCAAGATATCCGTCGTAATTGACGGATTCTCCTCTTCATCCCACAACGTCAACGCTGGTGTTCCCCAGGGGTCTTGGCTCCAACACTGTTTCTCTTACATATCAACGACCTCCTTTCCTGCACGATCAACCCAATCCACAACTTCGCTGATGACAGCACTCTACATGCAGGAATTCAGAGTGACAAGCCGATCTCTGCCGCTGAGCTGGAAAAAAGAATACTAGCGACGACTTCTTCTCTGACAAGAGACCTGGAGGCTATCACTGCTTGGGGACGCAACAATCTTGTACAGTTCCATGCTTCCAAAACACAGTACTGTACTTTGACGAATAAAAAGCGTCCTAGCGCTCATACAGTTTCGATGGACGGCCGAGTTCTACCAAAGAGCCACTCATTTCGGCTGGTTGGAGTCCAGATCACCGAGGACCTGATCTGGCACGAACACATCTCTTCAATAGCTGCAGCTGCTGGGAAAAAGCTATGCTATTTGTTTAGGGCTAAGAAGTACTTTTCTCCGCATGACCTTCTCACTCTATACAAGGCCCAGATAAGGCCTAGCCTCGAGTATTGCTCTCACATTAGGGGTGCTGCCGCCCCGACTACATTGTCCATGCTCGATGCTGTCCAGAGGAGCGCGGTCCGACTGATCGATGACTCTTCTCTAACAGACAGTCTCGGGACTCTTTCGCAGCGGCGGGCCGTCGGCGATCTAGCTCTTTTCTATCGCTACACCAACGGGCTTTGCTCCTCAGAGCTCTCTTCCATGATGCCGCCGCGCGATGTGCCTGCCAGACAGACCCGCCTGACTTCGGCGTCCCATCCTAACCGTGTCAAACTTCGTACATCCAGAACTGGCCGATACGACCGCTCCTTTGTCCCGAGGGTGTCTAGATTGTGGAACAATCTACAAGAGGAAGCTTTTCCCAGTTCTACTAACCTTAGGCATTTCAAAAATCGTATTAACAAAATTTCTTTGGGATCATCATAGCAGCCGCGGTGTTCCGGCATTTAGGCTTCTGCCTGCGCGGTTGTTTCGATATAAAAAAAAAAACGTTTAAGTTTTTTCAAAAATTCAGTACCTTTTTGCTCCTTTTTTGCCTGTTATGGCTATCAAGAAGTTCTAACTTATGATTTTTTACTGAGCTACAATTACTAGTTCGTTGAGACAACCGATTATTCATTTCATTGCAAACGAGCACGGTATATTACAACAAACTAAATTTACATTTGGCTTCAATACGAAAACCTTTACTAAAGTATGACTAATTACTGTAAAAAAATATTCTACACTGAATCAACAAATGACATTAAAAACTAGCTACTTGATGCTCTTGCAAAAGTAGTATAACATTTGTAGGTTCTTTTTACTAAATAATTCCAACTGTTGTCATTGAAGTCGTAATACTTGCGAAATACTACAAATAAAAAATAGTAAATGCAGCTGTCTTTTGTGTCCAAATTACAACTTTGTAGTTGCTGTAATAGCTTTTTATTTTAGCAAATGTCTAAAACAGCTATCTATTATCCTTTTTTATGCATTGTTTTATGTAGGCAACAAAATAATGAACAGAACATTAGGTTGTATCTTTGTTTTATTTCCATTGATTTTTACAACATTCAAATCAAATAAAGAATTAGGAATCATTTTTAACATCTTAAATTAACTAAAAGAAAATTAAATTAACACTTTGTAATGTAAATATTACCTGAAATAAATGATTATGATTATTATTATTATTTTCACAACAGATTTTCAAAATGTCTACCACAGACTCCTATACACAACCTGCATCTTCTTAAAAATTATTATCTTAAACGTCTTAAACTTAAATCCGATATTTTGCGTGCTGCTTGACCCATTCGATGACTCATTTCATCGGCTGATCGAACTGGCTTTCCATAGACCTTATCTTTTAAACATCCTTAATGTTCAGGTCTGGGGTGTGTGGTGGCCACACAATTGGTCCTGGCCAGCCAATCCATCTTCTAGGAATTGTTTCATCAAGATACCCCCGTACTGCACTAGCATAGTGTGGAGGGCAACCATCATTCTGTAACCACAACCTTCTTCTTGACTCAAGAGGCACATCTTCCAAAAGAATGGTAGATGATATTGCAAAAAATCGAAGTAAATTCAGATTTTTAAGATCATTTGCTGATTAAGTCTGGTACATTTTTTCACAGTAATTAGTCAAACAAAATGCAATAATTTATTATGTTTAGCATACCGTGCTTGTTTTCAATTAAATTAATACTCGGTTGTCTCAACCAACTATTAGTGGTAGCCCAGAATAAAAAAACATAAGTTTGAAGTTTATAGCCATAACAGGGATTTTTTGAAAAAGCTTAAAGGTGGCCATATCTCGAAAACTAGAAAACTTATAGTACCTATGTCGTAATAAAATGTGTAGTACCAGTACAATGGTAACACACATAATATTTCATAGTTTTAAAACTCGATGATTCTATGAGACAAATAAATGTTAAGCTACATTGATTTAAAAAGTAAATGGAGTTTTATCCTGCTATGAATCAACTTTTTTAAATTTTTTATATAACCTCTTAGAAAAACATATTTCATGTCAACGGGTCTAATATTCAGTCTAATACAGTTTTCATATGTTGCATTTTTTGTTCTAGAAAAGTAATAGTTAATGGATTTTTTCTTTTTTAAATTAAGCACGGTAGAGGTATCTTTTTCTTATTAAAAGATGTTATTTTTCAGAAAAGGAATCGGTTTGTTTCTCTGATGCTGAACTTCTTATTAGTTGGCCTTTTTGGCATTTTGTTGCTCTTCTGCAGAACTTCGCCAAAGGAAAACTCACCTCTGCTGTTTCCACATGATTGGGAGTACATGTGCATACTGAGCATGCATCAAATATTTTTCCATTTCTTTATCGTCAGCGTGATTCTTAGTGTTAAAAAGTGAGTAGTCTAAAACTAAGAAGAATTATGTCATCCATGGTGAAGATAAATACAAAAATGCCGAGAATAAGAATTATTCGTACTGAATTATTTTGAACAGTATGCCAACTATTAGTAGCTTTCTGGCATTTCTGACAACAATTGAAATGGGTCGTCCGAAACGAGTTCCTAAAGGATTCCTTTGCGCCTATAGCGTTTGCATGGGCACGAATTGTAAATATATCTGCCTCCCACACTTTTTGGAGAGCGAGGGGTAATACATTTTTTAGGAGGAATAAATAAATCTTAAAAGACCTCAATATTGTACACAACGTTATAGTAATTATGCAGCTTTTAAGGGTTGCCCGGATTGTCGTTGTGGGGACACGCCCTCCCTGACCTGACCTACGGCACCTATGAGTATTAATTTGACTTTTAAAAGACTGAAATGTTGAACAACATTTCCAGATTATCAACAATAATAGTAAAAAAATCCCTGAGAATATGTTCTGGTATTGTTTCTGCAAGAAATAGTGTAAATAAATTAAGCAAAACAATCATGTTAATGAATAGGCATGTATACACCGTGGATATCTAAGTCACAGAGAACTAATAATTTGGGTTGTTTCGGGTATAAATACTGCGAGCCACTGTACAGGATGTCCTTGAAGTTGGGACTTTCCTTAACAGAGAGTATAGGCCATGCAAAAATAAGTAACAGCACATACACCGAATCCTTAAGATAACAGAGGTATCAAGTTTCGAAAAAGTCTGATTGGGCGGCTCTGCACCCAACGTGAGAAGACGTGCGTTAATAAATATATTTAGTTCAGGTGCCGCGCTGTATGTAAGTCAACCTAACAAATCGGGTTTGGAAAAAAATAGCACATTTCTATAGCAATAAAAAAGTAATGTCTTCAAAACGTTATTGATATTTCACAAGTGTATTTAGATCATTTTTTGCAAATTAATTTCCCGACAGCATGTGTTTATTTATACCGTACAAAAGCTGTCAAGGTGGACACAGGAGCACGCCTAGACAGTACCTAATGTTGACTTGGGAAGAAATTAACAAACATGTGCTCTTGAATCGAACTTCGAAACTTAATTGTTTGGAAAACGGAAGGACTCAACTTTTAGGCATCCTGTCCTGCCTTTGGTTGTCTTCCGTTATATGCAAAAACTACATAAATCACTTATTTTGTTGATTATGCAATGAACATCTATTACGTAGTATTATTTATATCCAGATACGTCTAAGAAAGACTATTCAGCAAAAAAAAGTACGTATGTTAGATAAAAATATTTTTTGAAGTGACCGATTCAATTAGAAAACGAACCGATACAGTGACCAGACCAAATAGGTACTTATAGGTATAACTATGAGGGTTGTCTCAAAAATAAGGTTGAAGTATATGAGGAAACGTGTAAACTTTATTTCACAAGTATCCATTACGCTTTGAGGTGAACAGCTGATCACAAATACGACATGTTTGTGTTAATTTGTAACGTTGGCAATAATTAATTTTGGGACTGTATTCAGAGCTGTTGTTCACATATCAGCATTACATTTTTAAGTGGATGGGAAATATGACAATAAAATGTAGAAGTACAGATATAGAAAAGTTTATTAGAAAATTATTATAGTACCTCTGGAACAGGTTGCGTAGTCCTTTCCAGAAGCTATAAATTTACCTGTAAAGATAATATAGACACGTGATTCTGGTTTATTGTCCATCATCAGTATAACGTAATTCATCAAAAGCACATAACTAATCACATCATATGCATCATACCACTCAAATAGCAAAATAAAAATAATATATACTTCCTGGAATTTCCCATTTCCTCGATATGTAAAGATCGTATAGCATCAATTTGGTGACTTGGTGTATCCTTATGAATATCCTACTGTCTTTGAAAAAATAATAAACTACCTACGTTTGTGTTTCCTTTTGATTTTTGCAGGGTCCTCAACAGTTGGCCTAATCACGAACACTGCATTGTACCAGTTGTGTACATTTCATGACTTCCTGCAATAGTTACTAACATTTTTCTATTTCATTACTTGTTAGAATTACCTGAGTAATGTTAAGACCTGATTGAGGGAATCGAACCTCTATCAACTCGGTCATATACTGCCACACATTCTGAACTAAATGATATAATTAATATAGTCAAAAACTGTTTATCTATTTCATTGCGCCGTTGAGGCAAATGTGGTCTGAATCTTCCTCTACACGATGATTCAAAGCACATCTCCATCGAATTGAAAGTGCTTGTGCTAGGGTACTTATAGAGACGAGATATCCCAAAAGTTGCAGAGGTCTCCATGCGAATTTGTCGCTACAATGCAACATGCTACGCAAAAACTTTGTCGTTATTTTATGTTATAATATTTTGTCTAACCGACCACATGAGCAGAACGAAGTATCCGGCCTCTGGCCCCCATTGAATCCCTTCCCTCATACACTTGCATTCTCAAAACTGAAAGGGGAAGCGGCGTGAGCGTGTACAGACATTCACAATCAACTGAAAAGCCACTCTAAGTTGATAAAAGCGATCATCATTGCCCAAGTGTGAAAATCCACTGCGTCGACGCTCTAACCTCGTCCTTAACGTACTGACGGGTTGTCGTTCTTGGACTTAGCCATAGACTTGTAAGCTGCCTGACTGGCACATATGTGACTTAGGAGCGATTGCAATAATTTCATAGCTTCAAAAGGTGCATGGTTCCACCTCTCCTCATCAATAGTTGCGTGCTGCTTATCCGAGAAGGGGGTCTGACACACCTCCTACCTCGATCACTACATGAAAGGTCTAGGAATAATGAATTTATACCAACTGAGTTTATTGAGACTTAGGACACCCACTCAAGTTCTTGGTTACCAAACATATTCTGCGTTATATAGTTATATACAGATGCACTCATCCGAAAATTCGTATACAGGCCACTCAACAAGTTTCGTGACATATCGCTCCCCAAGAGGGCCCTATAGCACAACATAAAAGCATGCTCCATCAATTTCACTTCCTTGCCATGTTTCCCCTGGCTTACAGATAAAATTGAAAATCACAGTTTACGTAGCAAAAAATGTATCTAGAGGTACAGGTAGGTTAGAATAAACCAAACTCTTCCTCCTCGGTCCTATAGATAAGGATTTGTGCTATGCGAGCTATCATGTTCAGCTTGATCTGTAAACCAGGAAAATATGACAGAGATGTGAAATTAATGATGTTTACTTCTATATTTTGCTAAAGTGGACCTTTTTGGCGATTTTAAGCTTAATCTGTAAGCCAGTGGAAAAAGTGGATGTCTTAAATAGCATAAATCTATTAGCTCACCTTTTATGTACCGATAGAGGTAGTAGGTGTGTTACGCCGCATTTCGGGGAATTATGTGCGTCAAAACAGTTTGCACAATCTATGGCTAAGTCCAAGAGCAAAAAACACTCAGATGGTTGAGACTGACGTGCAGTTGATTTTCACACATTAGCTATGATGACCACTATTTTACAGTTGGAAACACGTATGGCTACCTTTTAGAATGGGGTTAATTGTGAATCGACCTACAGGTTCACATTATGCTGGTTTGCTGTTCACGCTTGGAAATGCATGAGAATAGGTGTACAACGGGAGCCCCGACGGTCTTTATGTGAAAGTTAACTAGGTGATTACAAAAAAGACGTAAATTATGAATATTCAAGTACAAAAATTAAATAATGTACAAAATATTTCTTAATTGAAGCATTTTACATTTTCTTTCTTGTATCAAACCTTTTTTTCCATTCCATCATTTTTTATAATAGGTGCAGTATTGAAACAATTATGTATAAGACGCTGTTCCACCTCCTGAAATGTTTACCTATTTAAGCGAAATTCAACGTGTAACTAAAAAATACGATTTTAAACAAATGTTATACTCAAGTATTATATGTTTTCTCTTTTCTGTTTAAACAATGAAAACATCGAGCGCAGGCAAAATGTTTGGTAGTCTTTCCAGTTTATAGTATAGAAAACAAAATCCCGTTGGTTAAATGGGCATTCATTCATTCATTCATTGTTGATGAGATCCGATAATATAACCTCCAAAGGCTCCATTACAAATATATTTCATAGCTTTGGCGCGGTGATGTGTTGGAACTAAGTCTGACAGTTTTCTATATTATCTTTGATTTAAATATGTTGACTTGTTTTTTCTTTTACAGTTTAGTTGAACCAAACCAGGTTGAAATTGGATTTCTGGTTATGACAACTTTTTCTGAAGTTTTAGCAAAGTTTGTCGGATTCACGGCTGTAGTGTGGATAAGTTTATTATAGCGTTTTATTTATTGAATTGCCCCTGTAAATGGTAGAATGCATCGACAATAGTAAATCAGTATCTTGTAAAAACCTACAAATTTTACTGTACTTATGTACTTAATCAATAAATTATCTAAAACAAGTTTTTCAGTTTACAATACAAAAAAAAATCAATTCCTCCTAACCCACAATATCACCTGGTCATTGCTGCAAAATTAACTGTGAGTATAGGAATATAAGTAAGTATACAGGGTGTTTCAAATTGGACCCTCATCATTGGGATCTCGGAAAATGTGAGAGATACAAAGTCGCTTGAATGGGGGAAAAGTTGCGCGCACTGTTTCCTAATAGACTGAAAGCCCGTCCCAGCTAACTACGTGGCCCAGGAAATCCACCTTCTACCGCAACAGGTTACACTTCTTCAGGCTCAATTTAAAGTTTGCACATCGGAGCCTCCGAAATACTTCTTCTAAATTCTTCAGGTGCTCGAACGTCTTACCTACCACGATGATTTCGTCCAGGTAGGCAAGGCATGTTTTCCAGTTAAGCCCCGACAGTACCAACTCCATCAACCTCTCGAACGTAGCAGATAGTATGTTTCTTTTTTTTTACCGGAATTGATGTATCCTTTTCTGCTTAATTATTGAATACGTGGCACTAAATGGTCAATATAAACATATTCTACTCATAACTCACAACATTAAATTTAAGCATTTCTTTATTGCATTACTTATAACACGAAATAAGGGACGTTAATTTGTGTCGCTAAATTCGTGTTAAAGATACTTTGCAGTTATGGTAAAATTGAACCAGAGCAATAATAGGGAGTTTTTGAATAAAGATAGCTCATTACCATATCCATGATCGTTTCTCTTGTGCAAAAGTTCAAATGCAAAGTTCATATTACACTACAAGTCGATTAGGCCAGGCCTGTCTATCATAACGGCCTAAGGGCCACCACCTGGCCCGCATAGGCCCTTTATCTGGCCCTCGAAAAATTCAAAAATACTTCCGAAGATACAACCACTGAAGAAGATATCTACGGAAAAGTAAAGAGTTGTATAGAAAAATATGAACTTCAAATCGAAAATCTTTGCGGCTTAACAACACCTGCAATGACAGGAAAACAAATGGATTTGTGGCTTCAAGCACAGCTGTGTGCAAAAGTACTTGACCTGAAACAGGAGATGGTTAAGGTAGTGTAGGTAATTTTATAGGTGCAAAAGGACATAATCACAGGCAGCTCCAGGCTTGATATCGTTCAGATTACGAAGACAGTCGCGTTCGATGGCTCAGCAGAGCAGCCACACTGAAACGATTCTATTCGTAGCTCGAAGAAGTAAAGACTTATCTTCAAAACAAAGGCCAAAACACTAGTCTCCTTACTGATGAGCAGTGGCTGGTTGATCTGGCTTTGCTAGTTGATATTATAACTAAGTGTCTTTCTGATCTTGACTTAAAACTGCAAGGGAAAGATCAACTATGCACGCAGTTACATGAACATGTTCAAGCTTTCATGAAGAAGCTCTTATTGTTGGAAAAGCAGCTGGAACAGAAGCAGATGGTTCATTGGGAGACCTTATCAGCAAGAAATCAAGATTCATTGGACTTTGTAAAGTACGTGTTGTTGTTGCAAAAATTGAGGAATGAGTTTGATTAGCGACTCGTAGGCTTCAAATCGCAAATTCCCAGCATAAAAGTGTTCCAGAAATACATTTGATGTTGCAATTGAAAACGCAGAACCGTACCTACAGTTAGAGTTAATTGAATTGCAAAGTTGTTCATATCTAAAAACGCATACAATGGTTGTCTTCCAAATGAATTAATTGGATTTTAAAAAAAGTATTTTACACACAACCAATACCCAAGCCTTACATAAATTAGCTCTTCAAAGCATTTCTTTATTCGATAGTACATATATTTGCGAGCAGCCGTTTTGCCGGTTGAAATATAACGGCTCTCTAATAACGAGATCATCTTTATTAGAGAGCCATCTTATAGGTATTTGGCGTCCCACACGATTCTTCCAACGACATATGCAACGTTGTGTACAACGTTCGACACCCCACAAGTCACAAGTGTGTGTCTCCTACATGACGGGATAAAGTTTTTAGTCTTGGACATTCGACGCACGGCGGCGCCAACGTCCATTATCGGTATCAGTGTCACGCTTGAACCTTTACACTGGAGGAAAAACTATACAAAATGAACGATGAAACAATTTTTTCGAGCGCCTAAAAATAATTTCAGATCTGTCTTTACCGACCAAAACCTAAGTCTGTCAGAAGCCTCAAAAATGTCGAAAAACGAAGTTTGACCGTTTTTTGTTTGTTTTTCGACGATAACTCCGGCGCCACTATACCGATTTTCAAAAACTGCAGAGCTTTTTCGTTATTTTCATAGTAGCAACCTAGGGTCAAAATCTCTTCAAAATCCTGATAGTAGGTACTTTCAGAGTTATCATTTATTTAATCGTTTTCGTTGGTTCTGAAATGCAAGTCAATATAGGTATTTCTGAACTAATCTTGCATTACAACAGAACATTATATTATAATGGAACAACTCTAAGCACTTGATAATTTATAATTTACTAAAATAGGTATCCTTAAGCCGGCCATAACTCACCTGCGAAACGTACAAAATATTAGCAATATGAAAAAAGTGTTGTTATGACAGCCTATATGCTTTGTATGTATACTAATTTAATTCATTCTCCTCAAAAGTTAGTTACGGAACATACGTATACATTATTATGAATAGGTAAGTGTTCAAATCAAAATACTTCCCACATACCACTACTTCTCCACAATCACAACAAACAAATAAATAATCTTTGCAGTGTTGCCAGAGCTCACATTGAAAATTCCGCTACTGATATCGAAAAACTAAGCTACTTTCCGCGCTACCCCGGGGGATTATCGTCGGGGTTGGTTGCGCATTATAAAACAGGGGGCATTTATTTTACAGGTTGTGTCAAAAAAGAAAAACAAAAACCAAACAGCGTGATAAAATATAACATAAGAAACTGTTATAAAAAAACATTTAATTATAAAAACCAATACAATATTACAAATACCTGTCACAACAGAACATTTATCATGCAGTCATATTAAAAAAATATCACAAAAAACAAAAAAATAAAAAGCATATGACTAAAGGCCATTTCTGTTTTGCATAAAAAAATTGAAGACAGATTCTTCTTGTTGCATTTCTCTTCTCTCTACACTATATAAATTATTTTTGTATTTTTTAAAATGTTTTTCATCAAACTCGAAGTCTAAAAGCTACTACACACAGTGCCGGCGGCAATGCCGCCGGGTTTATGCCGAGCGGCTATGCCGTCGGCAATACAAGCCGCGCAAAGCCGCCAAGCATCATTCCGGTTGTGACAGTCACATAGAACGCTAGTGAAGTGCATATTTTATGGTTGGTTGGTTAAAATAAATAAGGAAATCATCAGCACAGCCGCCGCAGTTGTAATTTTTATTTTAATAAGAAAAAAATACAGAAGGACGAGAAGGTTTTGGTTGCACCCAAGTTTACAAAATAGAAAATGGCGAACGGTACTGTAATGATAGAAGAGTATAAAAAAGATGATGTGGGCTGTCAGCGTTTGCGCAATAGCATGTTTTTGGATTTCTGTACATCGTCTATGCCTGCACCAGATATGTGCAACTGTTCGAACTTATTTTTTTCCCGAAAATAATGAGAGGTTACATTTTTTAACTTTCTCTCTACTTCGCCTTTATCAATGTCAAATACACTTGCAATTATGTTCAATGCGTCCATTCGATTGTTCCTATTCTTATAGTCTGCATTTCTGGGATTCCATAATATATCATTTTCATGAAATTTTTCAATTAAGAGCAGCACAGCTTCGTAGTCCCAATTAAACGACATTTTAGTTTGTTTAAACACACAAACCGCACTACCGCTCGAATGCCAGGAACGAAGTGACGCCGGCAAGCCGCCGGCTAAGCCGCCGTACACCCGGCGGCATACAAAGCCGCCGGCCTTGCCGCCCAAAGGAGCCGCCGGGGTGTGCCGGCGGGTTACGCGGCTTTCCGGCGTCACTTCGTTCCTGGCATTCGAGCGGTAGTGTTGTGCGGTTTGTGTGTTTAAACAAATCAAAATGTCGTTTAATTGGGACGACGAAGCTGTGCTGCTCTTAATTTAAAAAGTTTCATGAAAATGATATATTATGGAATCCCAGAAATGCAGACTATAAGAATAGGAATAATCGAATGGACGCATTGAACATAATTGCAAGTGTATTTGACATTGATAAAGGCGAAGTAGAGAGAAAGTTAAAAAATGTAACCTCTCATCATTTTCGGGAAAAAAAGAAGTACGAACAGTTGCACAAATCGGGTGCAGCCATAGACGATGTACAGAAACACAAAAAACATGCTATTGCGCAAACGCTGACACCCCACATCATCTTTTTTATACTCTTCTATCATTACAGTACCGTTCCGCCATTTTTCTATTTTGTAAACTTGTGTGCAACCAAAACCTTCTCGTCCTTTTGTATTTTTTTCTTATTAAAATAAAAATTACAACTGCGGCGGCTGTGCTGATGATTTCCTTATTCATTTTAACCAACCAACCATAAAATATGCACTTTACTAGCGTTCTATGTGACTGTCACAACCGGAATGATGCTTGGCGGCTTTGCGCGGCTTGTGCCGGCGGCTTGTATTGCCGACGGCATAGCCGCTCGGCATAAACCCGGCGGCATTGCTGCCGGCACTGTGTGTAGTAGCTTTTAAGCAGCAACATTTTTATGTATTGTATCCAGTTTGATAAGTACCGCGAACAAAGTTGAAGGTAAAATACGATTCCTTTTCTTTGTTTTGATTATCTCCATATATGAGAATGTCCACTCGACATCTGAATTACCATCTGGCAAATGTTAAAATTATTAGACATACTTTGGTAATACACTTCACAGGTTGTATTCTTACCACCTACTACCATGTATACGTGTCTCCGTTGAATAAGAATTACCGACCTGATGTTACCACTGTCGATTGGAAAGATATCTGTATTTAGATTTAGTTACTAACTGCACTCATTTTTTTTCTGGTTAAAATGTCCATCATGTGTACCTAAATTGCAAAATTCCGCTACTTTTAACAAAAAATCCAATTCCGCCGCTACGCCGCTACCACTTGAAAATTCCGCTACCAATAGCGGAATTCCGCTACTTCTGGCAACACTGAATCTTTGTCGCCGCTACTGGTTCTAACCTAAAACCATCAAGCACATAACATCTCGTGTGGGAGCGTAACGAACCACGATACACATACACTGAAGATAGGATATTGCGCATGTGGGCGGAGCTTCGTGACGTCACCCGGAGAGTTGTCGGCTCGTGGTTACCAGCGGCAGGATTGTCGTAACGTTACTGCAGTTCACGTGTATCGTGGTTAATACTATATAGTGCGATTTGTTGGTGTTTTTTGGTAGTTTTGTGACCTGTTCTAATAGTTATACATACTTTATATAGCCTGTGTGGTTGATACATGGTTAAAAATGCGGTGTGCTGTTGTGGGATCTCATTCCGACAATCAGTCGGAAGTTCTACAGATTTCCTCAAGACCCAAACCTTAGCAAAAAATGGCCACATCTTACAAAAAGAAAAGACAGAGTCAATGTAAAGAGTGCTAGGGTCCGCTCGAAGCATTTTTGTGAAAGTGCCTATAAGGTCAATTTAAAACATACCTTTTTGGGTTACACCCCTAAAAGTTACCGTGCTCTGAAAGATGATGCCATTCCTGTGGAAAAAGGGCTCTAGAGTTTAAGTATAGAACAAGGTCATATATTTTGGGGCGAAACGAAGGCGCATACTTAGAGTATTGCAGCGTAGAGGAAGAGGATACTCCGGACATTCCACTAACCGCATCATTAACGAATAAACTGAATGCGCCCGAAGTATCAGCTGACTATAACGAAGAAGTTTTAGTGGAAGAAATGGATGAGCTCGAGTATGATGGGTTAAAAAATTTGGCCGGCTTTGTTTGGCATAAATTGCAGGATGAGAGGTTGAAAAGTTCCTCAAATGAAACATACTCCTGGATAGACCATCTTAGTGAGAGTGGATTATCAAAACCTTCCACAGCTTTCATGAATCAAATTGAGAAGCTGAACAAGGTATTCACTACATTCAGTGGGGACGGAATAGTGACAAAAAAGCAAAATTTTTTTGGTGAACTTCTGTTGAAGAGCAGCAACATTGACTGACCTGAAAAAGCTAAAAAACTGTTTTTCAGGTCAAGGATGTTCTTCCGGATCAAAGAACTGAATAAAAGTTTGAAAGACCAGAAAAATCGTAAAAGGAAATGGAAAAAAACTGTTGCTTAGACTAAGTCATTTCCATTTATTGTTATACCACCACCTTACTGCAAAAAGAAGATAACTCCATTTTTCTACTTTTTGAGTTGCGTACATTTTCACACTTACGTGTACTTAGGATGTTCTGTGGAATAAGGATAAATGTAGTACAGTATTATGACATGAACATGTTAATCCTGCTCCACAGAACATACTAAAATTTAGGTAATGTAGAAGCCGTTTAATCTATAGCCTGTGAAATAGGAATTACAAGTTTGAAATCTTTTATTAAAATCCACTATTTTGTTTTTTATAAAATTTCAATGTAGCTAGTGTCACTCGCACCGCTAAGACGAATCCAACGACACCTCATATGTGAAAATCTATCAAACCGTTTGATCTGTAGCCTATGAAGTAGAAATTACCAGGTTGAAATCTTTTATCAAAACATTTTGCTTTTTATAAAATTTCAATGTAGCTAGTGTCACTCGCACCGCTAAGACGAATCCAACGACACCTCATATGTGAAAATCCGTCCAGCCGTTTGGCCTGTAGGTGAAAATATGCACGTTATCCATATCAACCCAATTGATAATCACTCTTCGCGTAACGTCATAACGTCATGCGCGCCAGCGGACGAAAATCGAACAGCGGAGCATACGGCCCTGACGAACTAGGGACCCGACGTCGATCTTGAACGCACTCCACGCACGGTTTTACTCTGTGGCATTTTTGTTGTTTTGTGCTTGACGTTCCTTGTGGTATGTGGTTCTTCCCACGTTCTTCCCGTGATGTTGTGTGGTTCTGTGGTGTGTGGTTCTTCCTAACCTAAATCTGAAAAAAATGTCAAGAACAAGAAAATTGTAAATTTTGAAAATACGTTATTTTGCAAGCTGTAACAAAAGGATAAAATTATATATATATATATATATATATATATATATATATTCAACAAAAAATCAAACGTAACTATATATATCAGGTAATCTAAAAAAACACCTACTCCAAAATCATATCTCAAAGATAATTTTGGGCTTGGGCCCCCATAGTCGTAGAAATGATGATTATATCAACAACGGAAATTTCTTCTATTAATAATTCTTTAACTTGTTGTAGGGAATATAATTATAATTCCACCTAACCACTTTCACAATGGCAGATGAAGAGAATGTGAATGGTAGTTCAGAGGAGCAATCAGAAAAGGGGCAACAGAAAAAGACTGCCAAATACGACAGTGGTGCAGCAGATCTGGAAAAGGTTACTGATTATGCAGAGGAGAAAGAAATATCTACTCAAGATGTTGCTAACGCTATATCTGCTATAGGAGACAGAAGAAACCAGGCAGCATTGGAGAAACAGGTAATATACATAGATACAGTGACACTTATTCTCATCAGTAATCATAAACATGGAGCAATCTTACAGGCTTAATGCTCTAAAATTAACATGAACTTTTTGATCTCTATATTTGGAAACATTACTATTTATCCAAGGAATTTCTTGAAGATCTCTATGAATTCCAGTACACTCAAATGCAATTAGTGGCTCTGTATTTTTCAATTCAGGACTCCTGGGGAGATGTTGATTGGTGAATGTCTCATGCAAGGAGTGACATTTTTCATTCAATAGAATCTAATGAAGCTAAAACTGTGACAATGAATGATGAGTTCAATATTTTTTCCAAAAATAATTGCAGAGGACAATGTAGTTGCTTGAAAACACTTTTTTCATGTGTATTAAGCATGTTTTTCACTCATTTTAAAATCAGACAACAAAAGTGATGGCACTCATCTTAAAATCAGACAACAAAAGTGATGGCACAGACCGTGACAAATGATAACAAGAATCACAGAGTAAGATTTGACCCCTCTCCCCCTGATTGCCAAAATTTTGAGAAACACAGGCTCAACTACACTATTTCATTTTTTTATTTTCCTAGGAAAGAGAAAAGGAGTTACTGAAAGTGGTAATCAAGCGTGAAGATGTAGACCTGATTGTGAAAGAAATGGAAATATCAAGGATGTTGGCAGAACGAACATTGAGGGAGTATCATGGTAACATAGTGAATGCTTTGATTGCTTTGACAAATTAATGAACTCAAATAAATCATCTTCATCTCTGTGGAATTTATTGTTTTTATGTATTCATTTTGTACAGTAATTTAATAAATAATATTGAAAAATGATTTTAATTTTTTTTACTTCAACAAGTCACTAAGTGAATGTAGAGGGTCATGTACAGAATATCCCCAATTGGTTGTTGTGGAACTTTCTGAGGTAAAAAAAGCATTTCAACTATATAGGAGTTATACATGTGTGTGAAGTAGTTTTATTTGTTTTAAAGAATAAATGATTCTTTGAGAACAATGTATGTAATTATTTATTAACATCTGCACAAATAGGTTTAATTTTCCAATATAGATTGGCTTTATCTGAAAGGGAAAAATATAGGATTTCTGATCAATATAAAAAACCTTATATTTTAAATTTTGGAAAACATCCACAAAGCTCCATCTAGCGGTCATGATCGGACGACATTCAAACGGAAGTCATGCGATTTTTCTAAAATGGCATTCAGCCCGTCCCCCACCCTAAACTAAACGCAATATGAAAAATGACAAACAAAAAAGTTGGAAAATTTACTGGTTTGTTTCGATCACGCGCATGCATCGGGTGTCTGTTCATAAATACCAGAATTATCACGTTGTGATGGACGAATACATATCGCATTCAGAGAAAGTACCCAAACCAGTTTCCAACAGCTGATTCAACAAATCGTGTGACACTGTTCCTCAGCAGAAGATAAAGGCACACAGATTCTGTCACAAAACCCCACTGTAGACAAAAGACAAACCGATGTCGAGTGCAGAAACAAATACAATAAAGCGGTTCGCAATGCCAAAGACCAGCACGACATAAAAAGTTAGGCTCAGCGCAATGGCAGTCGGTCTTTCTGGACGCTGGCTGAGCAGATTGAAAGGAACTTCTCTCAGAGTAGCCTTCCACCATTTCCGTGGCAGGATGGAGCAACTACAACCGACTCAAAGGCTAACGGCGGAACTGCTTGCCGGACTTGATTCCTACCATTGTACTGAAAAGGTGTGCAGCGGAGCTTGCTTCAGTTTTTTCGCGTTGTAATTGACGGGTTCTCCTCTTCATCCCACAACGTCAACGCGGGTGTACCCAAGGTATCGTCTTGTCTCCGACAGTGTTCCTCTTACATATCAACGACATTATCACTGCTTGGGGACGCAACAATCATGCACAGTTTAATGCTTCCAAAACACTGTTCGTACCTTGACCTATGGATGGCCAAGTTCTACCAAACAGCCGTTCATTTCGGCTGGTCGGAGTACAGATCACCCAGGACTTGATCTGGCTTGAACACATCTCAATAGCGGCATCTGCTAGGAAAGAGCTAGGCTGTTTGTTTAGCGCTAAGAAGTACTTTTCTCCGCATAAATTCCTCACTGTATATAAGATCTAGCCTCAAGTACTGCTCACACTTTTGGTATACTGTCGACCCCGACTAAATTATTCATTCAACGCACTATAAATCTTTTAGCCAAATCGCAATCGTTTTGTCTGCCACGTCTTCCCCAGTCTTTAGCTATCTCGTAAGCCTAAGACTCAGAGTAAAAGTCACGATGTAACTGTATATCACTATTATATTACAAAATAAAAAATGAAGATAATCCTATCTAACAATACATGTATGTACTAGTAACTCATGTGAGAATAGTACTCTTGGAACACTTGAACGTAGATCTCCTTTTCAGCCTGAGTCATCTCTGCAATGATGGTGTCATTGATATCTGTGATTGGATAGGTCTTCCCTCCAACAGCCACAGTAGGTACAGCATCATCTTCCTCATCTTCACTCTCCATCAGTTCCACCTCTCTGTCAAATTATCAAACAATTAGTAATGATATCACATAAAATCTGACAATGGCCACATTTACATGGTAGGTACATTAACCAGCATTCTCGATAATAGACTGCATACGTTATTGCCCATAATTTCAAAGCTATAGCTGTAATGATTTCAGAGTATTTTTAATTTAATCATATGAATTTGAAGTAATGACATTTCGTGTACGACATGTAGCGGAATAAAGGAAGCCTAGACTAAGAGGCGGCATAGCAGAGTTTGTTAGGTGACAGGCTGGGTTGGTATCCAGTAATGCACGTTAGTTCAAAACCATGTAATAGGAGTAACTTCTTTTCATTTTGTCAACTACTTCATTTATTGGCAAGTGAATTTCACGATTTAGTGTTATTTTTCATTATGATAAGATTTATCAGATGCCAACAGGAATGTTGTATTATAGGAATCTTCGGGAAACTGCGCTCATTTACTGTCTTGGATATAACGGACTGGTAAATATACTAAGTGAGATATAAATCCGAACACCCAGTTTAAATGGTTTTATTTTAATAAAATTTTGTATAAGTACTTAATGAAGCATAATAAGTAAATGATAAAAATTTCAAAATGATTGCACTGCTTTAAAGCCCTTTGACCTTTAATAATGTGTGGATTCACCCTGATGTGCTACGCATTCTCCAACGCGCCTAGGCATGCTTCTGATCAGGTGGTCAATGTCCTCCTGTGGTATCTCATTCCAGGCAACCACCAACTCCTCTCGAAGTGCTTCTAGAGTCTGAGGAGGACGTTGCAAATTGAGCAATCTCCTACCCATCATATCCCACACGTGCTCAATTGGGGATAAGTCGGGAGATCTTGGTGGCCATGGTAACAATGTGACATCATTATGTTGAAAGAAGTCTATTGTGACTCTTGCAACATGTGGTCGGGCATTATCTTGTTGGAAAGTTAGATCTGCCAGGGTGTCAAGATAGGGTAAAAGATGGGGTTCTAGAACTTCGTGGATATAACGCTGCGCGTTCATGTTACCTCTGATGAAGATTAAAGGTGACCTGGAACCATAAGCTATAGCACCCCAAACCATAACTCCAACAGTGTGATGAACATGTCTTTCAACAAAAAACTGTGGATTCCTCCTTTCACCACGTCGCCTTCTAACCCTGGCACGACCATCGTGCATGCCTAAACAAAATCGAGACTCGTCACTAAAGACAATACTGTTCCATTCCTGATCCCAGAGTGACCGTTGTCTGCACCACTCAAGGCGATTACGTCGGTGTTCTCGAGTGAAAGGGAGGACCCCGTGTGGCCGGTATGAAAACAAGCCAAAACTTCTCATTCGTCGGTAAACACTTCGCATGCCAATAGGTCTTCCGTGTTCTGCAAACCATTCATTTGCAATGGACCTGGTAGTGGAGAAACGGTCCCTTAGGGCCAATAATCTTATGCGGCGATCTTCACGGTCTGTTGTTCTACGGCGGCGTCCAGTGCCCCTTGCTCTTTGCGTACGGCCTTCTCGAAGCCATGCCTGACAACACCTAACCACAGTGTCTACACTTCTTTGCACTCTAACTGCAATTGCCCGAAAAGAAAGTCCAGCTTCCCGAAGTTCCACTATACGGCCCCTATCAAACTCACTAAGTTGACGAAATCGTACAGGTCTCCGTACTCTAGGCATCGTAACCGATCGTAAAGGATGTCAAGAACCAAAATCCGCCAACGTTGATTCTTTACTGCGGCTGAAATATTCATTTTTAGAGCGTTAGTGAATTAAAAAAAAGCAGTATAAAAACCGGAATGTCCAACTGATAAGGCTGAAAATTTTTTCACTTGTTATTTACAGTAAGATAAATACATGATAAATACCAACTTTTATTAAAATAAAACCATTTAAACTGGGTGTTCGGATTTATATGTCACTTAGTATATTTGCCAAATACTATGAGTAACATGAAGGATCTTTGGAATGACATTATTTATAATATCATATGAAATAAGATATAAGCCAGAATGGTATTATGTTATGACATGAACATATACTTCAGTTACACCCGCTACGTACGTTGTCTACGTTATCCGCATAAATTATTTCACGTGGAGATAACTTCATAATCATCTTTTAAAAAAACACTTTTTACTGCCAGGTGAAAGTATAGAAAATTTAATATTTGTGATAATTTGTGATGTTTACATTATGAAGATCAAGTCACTCCCATTAGTCTGTCTATTGGCGATTTTGTCACTGAGTTACTGAGTAATTTCGGTAACCGTTGCAACGATATTAATGGAAGGGGAGATGTAGATAATGCTGGTTCATGGCATCACTCCGTTTCCATTGAAGTCGTTGCAGCGGTTGCTGAGGCGACAAAATGGCCAAAGGACACACTGACTTTTATTTTCATGATTAAGACATCATAGATTATCCAAAAATATTATATTTTGCATACCTAACCGTGTCAGTAAAAAATGGTTTCACTCTAAAATGAAATGACTTATGAAGTTATCCTCACGTGAAAACATGGTGTATGGTGAGACGTGGACAAAACGCATGTAGAGTGCCGCGTATGTCGCACAATTGTTTCCATACGAATTTTTTACTTTGGCTACTTATACTACTAATTCTTATACTTGAGGGACCATCAAGATGTCGAAAAAACGTAAAGACCTTTCTGTAGAAAATTGTATTCTCTACAAGATAGGATAGTAGCATATAAAGTGGTTAGGTTGTTAGTTTAGCCGAAAACATCATTACATGTACTTTTACCCTTAAATTTCTCCACCTGTTGAATGGATGACAAATTTTTATGGAAGCAAAATGATTTGAACCAATTTGAACTTATCATTAGGAAGCAATAATTTAACGATTTCACCAAGAAAATTTACCGTCACTAAAATTGTCTGAAAAAAGTACCTATTTCCTGACCTACATGAATGACACTTCTGCGATTCAGCGATTTTTATGCTCTGTCGTACTATCTATTTTTATCACCTTCACATTTTTTTAGGACCCTGATGCTTAAGTGATTCGATTATGATTAGAAATACTTGGCCTTATTAACACGTTTTGTTTTCCATTTTTTGACATACTTGATTAGAATCATTTTATTCAAACTGTGATTTAAATCAAGTGATTTTTTTGATGTAGTATTTAAATCAAACTTACATTTACATTATTTCCTCTGCAAAAATTACTTGTTTGAATGAATCACTGGCTTTAAATTTAAATATTAAAGTAGACCTATTCCCGGATATTCATTTTTGTATAGTCCAACTGCCAAGGCCTAAACACCCATGGGTACCGTGGGGCTATAGGGGGATACAGAGGAAAGTGGGGACGTCACACGAACTCTGGCGAGGGAACACGTGGACATGCAACATCGAGATCCGCCGGGTAGTACCTCCGTGTTCGACAGTCAGAGACCGTCTACCACCTTCGGACAATCACAACATCCATAATCAAGAGAAAAATTTCTCTTGGGACGGGATTCGAAACCGCGCAGCGCACGGCGACTGATCAGGAGACCGAAGAGTCTACCACTGCGGCCACCACTGCTGCCTAAATGTTTTTTCTTTCTTTCATTTTGGGTTCTGAAAATGCTCAAAGGTTGTTTTATTCAACATTCCACGTGACAACTGTTTCGTTCCGCTGCGAACGCATTGCATCGAACGTCAGATGGAGTGTTGGAATACAAAAAATAATAGCTTTGTTAGGGAGTTGACTATTAATAAAGTTAAGGTTAAGTCACATTTATGATGGATATAAAAAAATAAAAAAGTCATGATTTATTCGATATCTTTAAATCAAAAAATCTGTCAAAAACAAAAAAAAATTATCAACCCTACTGCGACGGAATCTGAAAAAATTAGCACCTTTAATAGTTCAGAATGGCCAAAAACGGAATACGCAGAGAAGCAACAACAATTCTAGTCCGAAAACTGCTCGAAATAGGCTTTCAGGCGACGCATTTTTATATCGAATGTTTCGGTATCGTACACCCCTCGTTCATTGCACATTATATTTGTTATGTATATTGGGAGTATTTGGTAAATAAAACAATACCGCATATGTTGATTGATTCATCTGGATAGAGTTCACTTGTGAAGTATGTTACTTATATGACCTTATTTCAGTCAAGGTCTTTAAGAATAATAATAAATGTATTTTGGGAGTTTTTGATAAATAAAACAATACCACATATGTTGATTGATTCATCTGATTAGATTTCTCTTGTGAAGCAGGTTACTTATATTACCTTCTTTCAGTCAAAGTCTTGAAGAATAATAAAAGTCTATATTCCGCATTTTTACTAGTACAAAGTACAAACTTAGTAACTTTTCCCACAACTTCAAAACGAGGCTGTCAGTTACCTTCAATGAAAACGTGAATGCAACGTAACTGAAGTCGATTTGTCGTCAGGTTAGTTTTGGTGAGAACAGTGTCATAGTCATACTCACCCTGCATCTACAGCTGTCCTCATTTCGTCAGGCTCCGAATTGCTACTATCCGAATCAGCGCCGGCCAGTCCTCTGATAGCGTTAGCTGCGACTGCGCCTCCAGCGCCACCTGCAGGCCGTTTTTCGTGTGCCAGCAGTACTGACATTATGTCGTCGTTCTTCGAAGACAGACCACCGCCTACCAAGGAAACAAATGTGAAAGTGAAAAACGTAATATCTAATGAAAAATGCTTTTTATACACCAAAGCAGCCACGCAGGCAGAAGCCTGAATGCCAGGGCACCGCGGCTGCTATGACGATCCCAAAGAAACTCCGATTTTTGAACTGCCTTATGTTAGTAGAACCCTCCTCTTGTAGATTGATCCACAATCCCGACACCCTAGGGACAAAGGAGCGGTCGTATCGGCCAGTTCTGGATGTACAAAGTTCGATATAACTATGAGCTAATACATTTTTTTGTAATTGCGCTCTAGCCCCCGAACGTAAGTTCTATATGTACAGCAGATACGTAAAAACTTAAAAACAGACTTCCATTTTTGACGCCCACAGTAAACAAGCAAATGAAACTCTGAACACTGAAGTAATTTCCTAAAATCGTAGTGTCCAAATCGCGGTTTGAAATACCAATGCCGCCTACTGGAGCCTCATCAATCTCAACAACAAACTGACATCAGATTCGTAATTGAAGCACTATATTTAACCAAGCAACATGTTTTGCTAGAGATTGCAAATCCCTTAAAAAATAAGATTGTCTTCAATAGTGAAGTACCATTACACCTAAAACATTCAGAATCCAACATTTTCATTTCCGTCTGCTACAAGCACCGGAATGATTTGAGATGCTGATTTAAAATATGGCCGTCAATAGCCGCGAAGGTCTCTTTGAAGTACGTAAACAGGGCACAGGGCTTACGCGACTTCTCGTCAATCTTATGGCACTTCTAAACGGGCAATAGTTTACTTCATTATCGCTACATAACCGAGTATCCATAAGCATACAGCAATATTTTTAGTACGGCCTAGTTATGCTAAGCATGTTTGACATCTCCAACCTATTTTCCTCTAGGGTTGCCAGTTTGATGAGCGACCGAAATTCTACTTATTGGGATGACTTCGAAGTTGAGTCATTTATTTTAACAGTGAGTAGATCTGATCAAAAGAAATGTTTTTTTCCTTTACCATTTTTCTGGTAAAATTAAAGTAACAAAGTTATAGCCCTTTGGAAGTTTGAGTACTGCCCTGTCTCAATAATAATATGTTCGTGTTTGGCGACAACGGATATAATCCGCCTGACCGGTTCATCGCATCGGAAACAAAAAAGCGAAAGAATTTGAAACGTTTATCACGATGTTTTTCGTCAGTCGATAACGCGTTAGTGAATAGGAGTGTTTGTTGCGTGGCTCAAACGAAATCAAAAATGGCACATGTTTACGAAAATGCTGAACTTGTGGACATGATTCTTATTTACGGGGGGGCAGTCTTTACAAAATGCTCCCGGGTGCATCACGGATTTATGCGAATCGGTTTCCCAATCGAGTGCAACCAACCCCTCGTGCCTTTGTTAATGTAGTGCAAAGGGCTCGTGAATCAGGTGACTTAAGACCTCACAGGTCAGGGCATGCTGCTCCAAGACCGCACGATCAAATACAGGTCCGCACTGAAATACTTGTCGGGACGATACTTTATTAAACAAGGTAACATTTTTTTTTTATTTATTTTTTTATTTTTACACACATATTTTGGTTTATCTTCCTTCTACAATCATTATCTGAAAATTAATGACTCAACTTCAAAGTCACCCTGTATATGTAATCTAAGCAGTCACGGCGCGAACAATTTCGTCAAACCTTCTTGTCTAATTTTGCTGCCCTTCTGATGAGACATTCTGACAAATGTATATGTCTATACTCGTCGGTGGTATACACATTGCAGGCAGTATTGTCAAAATATAGGCGTTATATAGCTTTTCAGCCTATGTGGCCATGAATTGCCGTAAAACCGTATTTGGTGTGGGGCACTGGCCTTTTTGAACCATCCATCGATCATAGCGGGGAATTGAACTGACTCAAGATCTACGTATTCAGTTTACCGAAGATCCGAGTTTTCATCTTAACTACAAATACTGAAGACTTTTCTTCAATGGCACACCTTTAAACTGTAAAAGCAATGACACAAAAGTATGATCAACTTGTGAGCCAATAGGCACCTTGAGTCATAACATGCCATTAAGTTTTGAATCTCTGATCTCTCCTCCATGAGCCCACCGCGTTCTATCTCTTCCTGAGTAAATCCCACAGCTTTCCTATAACTGGCTGGTACCCCTACTTGATTGTTCATAGGGTATCAAGAATGCAGAATAATCTACCAGACGAGGCTTTTCCAGTTCTCCTAATTGACCCAATTTAATTTTTACATTAACAAAATTTCTAATCTCTAGCAGCTTAGAGCTAACTCTGCACTTGTGAAACAAATAATGCTGAGCTCTGCAAGTTGTCAGCTGATCCAGGTGATCGTGAGCAATATTCAGCAAATTCACACAGCACTAACTCTTAGCAGCTAAGTGTAACTGAATGTAACCATTGGCTCACCTCCATCTGCATCTGCTGAAGCTGCTGCATCAAGCAACCCTTCCTCTTTCACCCCATCTGCACCACCATCGGTTGTCACCACTGTAGATTCTGTCATCCATATTGGTTGCTCTTTCCTGTTCACAGCTGCATTGCTCTCTTCCCCTATCATTATATCTACCCTTGTTTCTTCCACTGCAAATCCAGAACGTCTTGTCGACTCTCCAGACCATTCTTGACCCAAGGGGTTGAGAGACATCTTTTTGTCTATACCTCTGAAAATTGAAGAAGTTTTGAGTATCTCAGTATTTGAAAAAAGTATTTATCAAGCTAGTCAGTAACTTATTGTTAGCTGAATAGGATCTTTTTGCGACAAATCTCTCAGAAGTAATACACAGGATCCGGTAAAATGATCTCCCACATTTTGCACTGCCCCTACGCCTGAATCACATAAGAGATAGGGATCTTAGCTTAGTTGGTTGATAGCTCGCGCCTTTCCATTTCAGTTGTCTTCAAGAATTGGACGGGCGAGCCTTCGTTATCAAAACATTTATAAAAAGTAACGAATATGTGATTACTACTCAAAGAACTTTTTGTACTCACTTCGCGCCTGGGTCTGTGAACAAGCAGAATTTTCGCTACTGGGGCACCGCGGCAGCTCATAGTCCACATGTTACCATTTGGTGTGCTATTGGATTTTTTCGCGTTTGGGGTGCCTATTTTTTGGAAAGGGAGGCGTGACGGTCACCGTAACTGTCGATCGATATGTCGACATGCTACGAAATTTTTTATACAAAACCTAAAAAACCTGGACACCCGGATGTGTAGTTTCAACAGGATGGAGCTACTGCTCCTATGGCAAAAAGGACAATAGACGTTTTAAGGGAAATGTTTCCATGACGTGTAATCTCGTTACGTGGAGACGTTGGGTGGCCTGTGCGTTCACCTGATCTTGCAGTATGAGACTTTTTCCTTTGGTACTATCCGACAGCGAAGGTTTTTCAACACCATACCCGAACCATTGACGAAATGAAAGCAGCGATACGCCAAAAAATTACATGAATTTCGCCTCAAATTCCTGCTCGGCTGATGTAGACTTTTAGAAGTTAGCTTTGAATGTGTATCGAAAACAACGGGCGCCACTTGGACTCTGTAATTTTCAAAATTTAATAAAAGCAAACGGCATAGCACACATTTTCAGTTAATAAAAATATAATCTAAACTGCATTTACAATGGCATTTTTATTAAAGCTTAAAATATGGGAGATCATTTTGCCAGACCCACATTTATACTGTTTGATCAAATACTGATGATGAAGGATCCAAGATACTCACCTTATTGTATTTATATCTACTGGTTCAGGTTCTAAGACCTCAGGTGCTAATTTGATACCTTCAACCTCTCGCAGAAGTATATAGATAGGCTCCAGTTGTTCATTGAATTTGGCTAGCAACAATCTGGAGTCTAATTTGAAATATGTATATTAGCACATTTGTGAAAAACCTTCATACAATAGTAATGAGCCCAAAATTTAGGTCATCCAAAACCAAGTTTTTATTGATCTTATGTAGTCATAAAATTATGTACCAATTCAAAAGATTGAATCAGCTTCAAACATGGGAAAACTGGAGATATATATCTGCAATTGTTATATGAATAAAGAAGATTTTGAAGTCACCTTTTTTTGGCAGTGCAGACATATCTTCCTCTACTACTTCCCTACAATATGTGCAATGGAACTCTGAGGTAGCAAAATCAAATAACTGATCTGCTTCAAGATCTGTGAATGTTTTTAGGCATCCTGGACACTTAAAACTAGCTCTGCTAGTCGCATCTCGTTCTTCAGTCTCTAGTCTTTTTCTCATCAAATCTAATTTGTACTTTATCACATTCACGAAGGTTTTATAGTTTATAAAATAGTAGTTCACCTTTTGAGCTTTTCCATCAAGACCTGTTTCCATTCTTAAACGAACCTAGAATAGAAAAAAACATCATTTTTTATTGTAATAAGCAACTATCATATTTACTGTTGGATAAGAATATTCTACATATTGCTAATAATAATAATAATAGAGGGGTGCGATGGGATGCAAGGATAACTTGCTGGTGGACCGCTGCGTTTGTCCCATCAAGTAATATTAAGACTATTACAAATGCTGAAAGTTCACGACAATATGGTGAAGTGCATTGAAAATTTAATGAGCCTGTGGAAAACAAAGTTAACAATCCGGTCAGGTAACACTGCTGTAACCACTAACTGGGTGGCTTATAAGCGGGGAGTATTTCAGGGAGACTCTTTGGGCCCCTTTTTCTGTATTTCACTCTTGCCTCTAGCTCAAAAGTGCTGATGGATATAAAGCAGGCCCGCCAAATCAAAGGAATCATAAAATCACGCATTTACTCTACATGGATGACCTTAAATTGTATGCTCCTGGCAAGAAAGAACATTCAATTAACATCATAACCAAGTATACTGCGGCTGTAGGAATGTATTTAGGTGTAGACAAATGTGCTGTAGCACATATTCATAAAGGAAAGATCCAGGGAATGGGAGACGATACTGAGTTAATTGATGGTACTATTATAAGACACCTGGGATTAGGAAGATCTTAGTTCTTGGGTATCCCACAGCGTGATCTGCAAGACTCAGCACAACTTAAGAAAACATTGGGTAAGCAGTACCTGTCTCAGGTGCGAGAAATATGGAAAACAAAGTTATCTGGGAGAAACAAAGTCACTGCTACTAACATAATAGCCATCCCTCCCCTACAAATTTGGAATAGTCAAATGGACTGTTGAAGAATTGCATAACATAGACCGTCAAACTAAGAAGATTATGAGTATGAATAGAAGCTTGCACCCTAGGTCATCCATACAAAGACTCTATCTTCCCAGACTCCGAGGGGGAAGAGGGCTAATGGGTGTGAACAAATACAGAATCGTGCAGTCTTGCAAGTCAGTTTCCCGTACTTAAATTGGTGGCAGCACATGAAAAAATATAGAATGGCGCCTTTCTGCTTAAAGCAGCCAAGAGGTCGGCACTATATCTGGATCTTGAATACTTAAGTCCGGAAAATATAATGATTAGCGAAGACGAGCCTCTGATTCTCAACCTCAAGAAAGCTGAAGAGAACGTTCTATTCAGGGAACATATGTCAAAACCTCTCCATTCTGTATTTTACAATCACATACAGACGCTCGGACTGTCTCCAAAGCAAACGTTTGCTTTTCTATGCTCGGCTGGCCTAAAATCGGAGACAGAAGGGTTCATTATAGCCTGCCAAGATGGAGTTATTGACACTCTAGTCCACAGGAAAATGATTTATCAACAGAATTTACCAACTGCATGTAAAGCTTGTCGATCACATCCTGAAACACTGACACATATCTTGTCTGCCTGCCCCACACATGCTCAAATGCTTTACGTATATAGGCATAATTCGGCTCTACGAGTGCTTTACTTCCATATAAGACATTCTTACACAATAGATAAGCAACCAGTAATACCATATATACCAACAGAATTGGAAGTGGTTGTCGAAAATGAAAAGTGGCGCATTTATTGGAACTACTCCTTCCCTACCACCAGAAAGTTGAATGCTAATAAGCCAGATCTCACCGTGCTCGACAAAGAAAAGAAATATATCTTTGTCATAGAATTCTATAGCATTGCAGAGAAAAATGTAATACTTAAAGAAAGAGAAAAGAGAGACAAATATAGGGACCTATTATACGAGCCACACAGCATGTATCCCGCATGCACTGCTTTAGATGTTCTCAGCCGCACATCGCCATTGTTTGGGACGCGGCTGAGAAATATGGCCAGCTAGCTTAGACCATCCAACCAGGTTATTGTTTAGATCAAAGTAATAAATCCGAATGACACTAGCATGGAAAAATAATAATAATAATAACAATAGTTTATTGGTCCAATTACAAAGTTTTTGTATAAATAATAACAGCAACGTCCAATAAACGTAATATACCCAAAAAAGGTGTACACTTGTGCTTGGGTTTTAATCGAAGTTGAATTATATTAATACAACAAATTTTCTATAAGTATACTAGTCAAATGTATAAATTTGCATCATTTTATCACATTTTTTTTAGTTTAGTTTTTAGTGTCAACAAACTTATAGCCTTGGTTGATTTAGGAGCCATAATTTTAATTCAATTTTTAAACGTTTTCTACATTTTATGTTTAAATTTTTCAGGAATAACATTATACAATTTTGAGCATAAAAATAGAATGATCTTTGTCTGATAGTTTTATTTAGTCTAGGAATTAGTGCAGAGGTTTCGTTGAATCGCGTTTGTTGGTTGTGGCTGATAGAAAGTAACAATTTTGGATTTGTTGTTAAACATATTATTGTGTGATAAAAATAAATCTGCAGGCAGTCGAAAGGCTGAGATTCATTGTAACGATTTTCTGAGGGATAACATTTCTTTTTGTTCAACATTACTGTCAAAATCCACTTCTGCGTAATCCCAATCTATTTATAATAATTATTCATGACTCCCCCCCATGCTAAGATTCGGCAAGATAGTGATGATTGAACAAGGACATGATATATCATGTGTATTTTTTTGCTTAAAAAACTGCTGAAATATTTGACTTTCGGAATAAGGTTCTTGCTAAATTTTCAACATGTTTATTCCATCTTAGATGGTTATCTATGAATACCCCTAGGTATTTGAAATTATCAACCGATTGTATGTTTCTGCAGCTATTCAACGTTTTAATTTGGAGTTGATTAAAATTTGGGGAAGATCTGTTGTCGCAACAAAATGCAATAAAGTAAATTTTGCTGAAATTGACTGTTAAAATCCTTTCCGTGAAAAAATTTTTAACCTTTTGAAAATCCAATACAATTTTGTTTTTTAAAGAAGTCAAATCTTTGTCTGAGCAAATAATTGCCATATCGTCCGCGAAACCAATAATTTCTCCATCGTTTTTTAACACGTTAATCGCCATGACACCCGACACTTGGGTTTCAAATCCTGTGGTCGATTGGGCTCCGACACCTGTTAGTAGCGTGTACATTAAAGCCTGTAACCCATCTACCGTGTTTCAGAGCACATGCACTTATATGGAAGTTTTTACAGAGCGGCCTGGCGGGTAATATTAGGGAATGAGCCCGGCAATGTTCATGTATTTTTTTATCTCTGAAGGAATTTTCTAAAAATTATATGAATTTATAAAAATACTTTTATATTTTAATGAAATAGTACTGGCTACTACTTATAAAGAATAATTTCGAAAATCAGAAAACATAACAAACAGTTGCTAGTGGTTATAAAGAATAATTATGAACATCAACAAAACATGACAAACAGTAGAACTTATGATATGTATATCACAAGAAAATTTTGATTTAGGTCCCGCCTTCTGAGCGGCATTCCTGCGTTCTTCAGTACTTTATTTTCGCATAACATGCTACACAATTTCGACGGTCTTTTGAAGAAACCTTTTGTAAAACATGCTTGTGTGTTTTCATTTTCCAGCACCTCCCTGACATCCACTTCATTGATTTGTAATATACTCAGAGCAAGTTTCTGTCTAAAATCTGTAATTGACATTTTTGCCTTTGTCACAGTTTTGTATACATAATATTTAAGCGTTTACTACAGCTGAGCCAAGTAATATTTCAAAGGCTAGTCCCCTATACCACTTTATGCCTTTACGCAAAGGCGAACAATATGACTTCAATCTTTTGGGCGATTAACGTGTTAAATTAAAAAGGTTAAATAAATTAAACAGCATTGGTACTAATACGGTTCATATTTTCACTTAGTGTACTGTTAATGTTAACACATTGTTTCCTGTTTTCCAAATAACTTTTCATGAGTTGACAAGTGTCTCCACAAAATCCTGAATTTTCCAAGGTTCTTAATAATTTTTGATGCGTAATACTATCATGCTTTGGTTAAGTCTACAAAAAGGCATGCTGTTGATTTATTATCAACATACTTATAAATTTTGGTTGTTAACTTAATAAGTGCATCTTGAGTTGATTTTGCTTCCTGGAATCCATATTGCACTTCACATATGAGGTTGTATTTTGCAATAAAATCAGGTTTTTTTAAAAATTTGTCAATACTGAAATTGGGCGATAATTACAAGGTTTCTGTTTATTTCCAGATTTAAATACAGGTTTTATTATTGTCTTTTTTATAAGGGGTTGGGAACATTCCTCGTTCCATGCAGGTGTTTATAAAATATGCTAATACTTTAGAAATTTTATAATTTATTTGTTTCATAATGTATGCGGTTATATTATCAAATCCCGGTGATTTCTTAACTTTCAGTCGCTTTATGATATGTTCAATTTTCGTATTGATCAGTCTGTATCAGATACAGGGAATTTTGCAATATGGTTTTCATATATATAAGTTGTGTTTCATTTGAAATGTCTTTTTCCAGATTCCCACCAATTTCAGAAAAATATTTACAAAATTAATTGCCTGTTTCGATATCGCTTTTTGTAAGTCCGCCATTTTCTTCTTGTACAGCAGGAATTTCTTAGCATTTTTGAGAATGTAGCATTTTTTCTATGAAATGCCACATTTGGCAGAAGAATTTTGAAGTCTGTCAACTTCATTTTTAAAAAATTTTGATTTAACCTCTTTTATAATTGTGGTTAATTTATTTCTGTACAAAGTTCTAAATCCTGTGGAAATTTTTTTGTTCCTCTATACAGCTTAATTTTTCTGTTAATGGATGTTATAATTCCATTCGACACCCATGGCTTCCTGTTAATATTCTTTCGTGGAATTTTTATCCGATTTGTACATGAATTTATGTTGTTGAGGATGTAAGGTAAAAAGATCAAATGCCTTTGCAGGATCATGTTGTTTATATATCTCTGACCAGTTTTCAACAGATAGTTTACAGTTCAACTTACTATAATCTATGTATGTTTTTATGCTAGACTGCGTTCTTTTTAATTTAGGAGCTGTGTCTTCATATTGAACCCTTAGCATGGTGGGGAAGTGATCCAAAATTGTATATCTCAAAACTGCTGAGAAGAAGTTCTCACTATTTATGGAGGCATTAATGGAGGATATGTATCCCTGTCCTCCCATCATGTTAAGGTATTCGAGGGAATTGTGATTGATTTGGTCTAGAATATTGATATTTAGATCTCCTACTATTAAATTAATATACAGTTCCTCATTGTTTTCAAGATAATTATGAGGTTCTTTATTAAATGATGATGGTGACTTGTATATTCCAATGATTTGTCTTTTATGGTTGTCTTTGTGTACAATAACCTTCAATAATTTTGTTTCATTTCATAATTACTAATTAAGTTCTGTTTTATTCAAATCCTCCTTATTATAATACAGATGATAATTTGACATTTGGATTAAATTTGTGTCATGTATTCTAAATGTTACTTACTTGTATGAATTTATCATTCTTCAAAGTGGCTATCCGAGCCCTCAGCATCTTTTTTTCAAACTTTAAAAGCTCACAAATATCATCCTCCTTCATACAAGGATTCCTAACCAACATGTCAACAATCAAGGCATCTTCTATTGAGTAGAAACCACGTACCACTAACCTAGCAAGCTGTTTAAGGCTGCTAGGTACTTCTGTTACTAGCTTCTCATCATTCATTTTCTAAATATACTAGCGTACAGCTGAAATGTTTTAATTGTACATTGTAGATATTAGGAGTTATATTCAGAAGTCTCAGTTGGGCTTATTAAAGATATCGCTTAGGAAGCTGTAAATGTATCGTGTTCAGAAGGTATTAACTTGAGTACAAACAGCTTTGTATATATCAAAGTGAGGTAATGCATAAAATCATAGCGAGTACTTACATTATATAGCATATTAATCATGAACCAAGTATGAATTTAAGGTTCGCATACACTAAAATATACTCATTTTACTTATTCTAATGCAGATAAAGATGTATTACTTGTACTCTTCAATTGCATGTTGGAGATCTATGATATTTCATTCATAGCTATCATAATCATGACTATCTCAGCTTTACTACATCACTAACAACGAATCTAATAACAGAAATTGCCGCAAAAAAAATCAAGATATTTCAAGAAAAAATATAAATACACATTATTAGGTTATAGGAAGTTGACAGGTTCTTTGAAAGACTTGTCAATAATTGTCAAATAAGTGTCAGTAATCAATTTCAAGCGGATAACCAAATGAAAATGGTATTTACCATTTTGGGTTGGTATTTACCGATCCGTTCAAGCGAGTGTGGTTATCAGCTTGGTTATAAGATCCGTGACGTCATGAATCAGCTGTTATATGTCATAGTTCACCGCAAAATTGTGGTATTTGCCCAACTCGGGAGTAGTTTTATATTTCTGGTTATTATTTGAAATGTGACAAGTTAGAATTTTGCCGGGTATTGGATATTGTTATTGCACTTTAGCTTCATTTTTGGGAAACTTGATACAGGCTGACTTCAGTTTTACCATGAAGTGGAGCACCTTATTGGTTATACTCATTACTGTTGTTGGGGACACTTTAAATGTAGTTCCTGAGCTTAAAAAAGTATCTTGTGTCATATACCACAAGAATATTAAAATATGGCCATATAAACTCACTAGATGATGTCCACCTGAATACGGTTTTGCTAATTTCTTTTTTCATCATTTCTGCTGAATCAATAAATGTTTTCTTTGACATGCCCAAAACTTTAGAGAATTGAAAGTTATCATAGCTTCAAAGCCATGGTTCCATCATTAAAAAAAAATTTCTAAAAAAAAACATTTCTCCCATGAATATATGAAAGGTTTCTTATTTAAACTTTCCATACACAGTTGTAGACGAAAAAGCACCGATTATTAAGTGACAATAAAAATAATCAGAGATCATATACGCGCTTTTCTAAAATAAACAACTTGCAACAAAACCGCGGTTAAAACCAACGCGTTCAAGCGATTCCTGTAACTGACGTCATAAACCCGTGTCTTGAACCATATTATAACCGCGGCACATAACACAGAAATTTTTGTTATTCGCTTGGATTTGATTAGTGTCATGAGTCATGTCAGTGTCAATTTTTTGTGAGTGACAAGGGGACATTTGACTGTTAGTTGAGTTCACATACATCAGAGGGCACCATAAGTTCAACATTCAATGTTATACATTGGAACGATGATTGGTAGATGTTTTGAAAGTGTCCATTTCATTGGTCAAAAAAATCTAGTATTGAACATGGCTCTGACGTGCTGCTGATATCCGCGAAATGATAACATTAAACATTATGGTGTCGTTGTGAAAAATGTGCAATATTTTAAAACTCGAATGGTGCATGTGAAATTATCCAATTGTCTCCGGAAGAGCTTTGACCGTCATTAATATTGCTCATAGAATGGCCTTAGTGACCGTACAAAGAAGTCCCAGTTCTAATAATTCTCCTACTGATGTAAGTCGACCAAGCAATCGCTTTAAACAGTACTTATCATTTTTGTACAACTGCTTGTAGATCAGAAACAGTGACTTATATGTTGTGCTATTTTCACTAATACCGCTAATAATACCAGCTTTATCGTTTGGTCTGCTCTCCCCTAAAAACTTGAAGAGGCCATAGAAGTTTGTTTGCTTACAGACCTATCTAGAATAGATACCTTTTGATGGGAGGCATATGCAACCCCCACAAGAATCAGATATCCACAGATTATTCAATAACCCACCTCGGTTTGTGTTTATTTTTCCAACATTATAGCTTGTACTTTGTTCTTTAACACAAGGTTTACAGTTTTAATGCCCAGCATCGTGTAAAAATTTCCAAAAGATATGTTATATATGGAAGTAACAACAATGGATACATACAAAGATATTCTTCACCTTATCCTCAGCCTTTGTCATTGCCTGAATTATAGTTACCTCTTTGTTCTTTGTAATTTGGGCTAGTCTTCCTGTTCCAAAATATGTTATAGTTGATAAAGTTTTGCTGCAATTAAAAATTGTTAAAGCATATTTTAAATATTTATTGATGTATTATGTTTATACTGTGTTAAACAAATACACAGATTCACTGCAACACAACTTCTCTAGCATGACATATCAAAAAGCATCTAAATATTATGGAAATTCCAAATTGTGTGTAAATTTGTTTCAAGTGCATTGTAATTTTGCAATATAATGTGTAAGGTAAGGATCTATGATTATATGATTGCCTGCAATATGTATTTTCCTTGACTACAGTATATAAAAATATAATTATACATCATAAGTATAAGTTGCATAATCAAAATTAGATTTGTAAAAAATTGTATATTATATATGAAAATTGCTACCTATCTTAAATATACCATTATGAAAAATATATCAAAAGTCCCCATAAATCCCTGGAGTGGACGCTTGCTGTTAATTCCAAATGAAACCAGGTTCTGCTCCAGAGATTTCTGGGGACTTTTGACATATTATTCTTAATGGTGTATTTAAGGTATGTACCAACGTTCAACTTTATGTGAAGTTTGGCATACTTGCAGTATTTTGCTCTATTTTCTCTGGACTATTATACTTGGTGAAAATATGATGCTAATATATGATCCATCTGAAAATGTTTTATTGTTTCTTGTATACCAATTTATTCTACATTCTTATATGATATATTATTTTATTGCACCAAAGCTTCATTACAATATCAGTTTGATTCATAGATATAATAGTTTATTGTCATAAACCAAACAGATTCTCAGTTAATTTATAAGTGAATTCAGCACTATTGTAGTTCTTGTAACCTTTTTGAGTCCATTCCAAATCATAAAAACTCTTGTTCTCATAACCCAATAAATACTAACTCAAGGACAACTAGCCTGTTATCAAACACACACCCATTATACACATGGAAGTAAGGATATCATATCAATAGTTACTCTTACTTTCAGAGTTATTCAAGATTCATTTTATTTTAGTATGTAATGAGCATTTAAAACCACACCTTTGATCTTATGATGGAAGAATTTAGGACAGCTCATTAGGCTCCTACTTTTTAAACAATTTCCTGCCACACAAAAACTAGTCTTGACTTGATTATAGCAGTCAAAGTAATTTAGTACATACAAAGTTTTGCCTTCCTAGCTAGCTGAATATATAAAAATGATGAAATATAACATTTGAAACTTAGCCTGTGCTTTTCATGCTGATAGAATTCCACATTTTTCTGAGCGAATAAAACCACATAATATGTAGAAATTACTATTTACTTAAAGCATTTGGCCAGTTGCATGGCTCAGGAATATATAAGAGTGAATATACAAGGAATTCAACCATCACTGTGGTTGAACAGTTTTTGAGCAATGCAAAATATGCGGCCCTTCCAGTGGGGGCCCCTCAAAAATTTTTATATCATATCATTTTCCACTATGATATTTTCATAGTTAGGTCTCCATGCTGTGCATTGGGTTCCTTTCAGTTGGAGCATCCTAGAGGGGGCAAATTATGATTTTTGAAACAAATTTTGTTTGGTCTGGAGCCCCTTTCCCAGTTGCCTCTGAATAGCTCCAACCTTGAACAGTTATTATACATTTGATTGTCTGACCAAAATGTTGTTATTAAAACAGCAGTTCTGAAGGTATAGGTACATTGCATATAATAAATTGGAATCCAAAGTACCAAAGGGAGTATCACTTGAGTAAATAAACTATGATGACTCTTTTGGTAAACTTTAAAACGAGAAAGGGTAAAATTCTGATGGTAAATGGTAAAAAGTCAGCAGTGCCAAAAAGTTGCCATTTTCACTTTTAACGACGTAATTTGAGTCCAATTAAAAATAAATCGATTCAATTTTCACGTAGTTCGATGGTATTAATGGCTTTTTATGTACTGTAAAAGTTTTGCCCCCCTCCAAAAACTTCGCCAAAGTAAGGAGTAACGCAAAAAATTGATATTCCATTAAAATAAACCTGGAGAAATGCGGTTTTCACGTTAATTGATTAGAAAAAGCATATTTTACTTACGCTAAGTTCAAATCCGTGCTATCTCGTGCACAGACACCCCAAATTAACCCCCCATTACAACTTAATTTTGTTTGGAAGATATGTAATCATCTATGTCTATAGCTTTTCAAAACTGCCCAACACCAAACTGTTTTGGGCACTTCTCGCATTAATATGACCTAGACAATCACAGCCGTTTACTCATACCACGTCCGGAACACCCGTTTCTGCCCCCCATGTTGTTTATAAAAAAACCTCATTTCCAGTACTGTTCATTTTTATTATATACTAAGTGACATATAAATCCGAACACCCAGTTTAAATGGTTTTATTTTAATAAAAGTTGGTGAATGTATTTATCTTACTGTAAATAACAAGTGAAAAAATTTTCAGCCTTATCAGTTGGACATTCCGGTTTTTATACTGCTTTTTTTTAATTCACTAACCTCTAAAAATGAATATTTCAGCCGCAGTAAAGAATCAACGTTGGCGGATTTTGGTTCTTGACATCCTTTACGATCGGTTACGATGCCTAGAGTACGGAGACCTGTACGATTTCGTCAACTTAGTGAGTTTGATAGGGGCCGTATAGTGGGACTTCGGGAAGCTGGACTTTCTTTTCGGGCAATTGCAGTTAGAGTGCAAAGAAGTGTAGACACTGTGGTTAGGTGTTGTCAGGCATGGCTTCGAGAAGGCCGTACGCAAAGAGCAAGGGGCACTGGACGCCGCCGTAGAACAACAGACCGTGAAGATCGCCGCCTAAGATTATTGGCCTTAAGGGACCGTTTCTCCACTACCAGGTCCATTGCAAATGAATGGTTTGCAGAACACGGAAGACCTACTGGCATGCGACGTTTTTACCGACGAATGAGAAGTTTTGGCTTGTTTTCATACCGGCCACACTGGGTCCTCCCTTTAACTCGAGAACACCGACGTAATCGCCTTGAGTGGTGCAGACAACGGTCACTCTGGGATCAGGAATGGAACAGTATTGTCTTTAGTGACGAGTGTCGATTTTGTTTAGGCATGCACGATGGTCGTGCCATTGTTAGAAGGCGACGTGGTGAAAGGAGGAATCCACAGCTTTTTGTTGAAAGACATGTTCATCACACTGTTGGAGTTATGGTTTGGGGTGCTATAGCTTATGGTTCCAGGTCACCTTTAATCTTCATCAGAGGTAACATGAACGCGCAGCGTTATATCCACGAAGTTCTAGAACCCCATCTTTTACCCTATCTTGACACCCTGGCAGATCCAACTTTCCAACAAGATAATGCCCGACCACATGTTGCAAGAGTCACAATAGACTTCTTTCAACATAATGATGTCACATTGTTACCATGGCCACCAAGATCTCCCGACTTATCCCCAATTGAGCACGTGTGGGATATGATGGGTAGGACATTGCTCAATTTGCAACGTCCTCCTCAGACTCTAGAAGCACTTCGAGAGGAGTTGGTGGTTGTCTGGAATGAGATAACACAGGAGGACATTGACCACCTGATCAGAAGCATGCCTAGGCGCGTTGGAGAATGCGTAGCACATCAGGGTGCATCCACACATTATTAAAGGTCAAAGGGCTTTAAAGCAGTGCAATCATTTTGAAATTTTTATCATTTACTTAATATGCTTCATTAAGTACTTATACAAAATTTTATTAAAATAAAACCATTTAAACTGGGTGTTCGGATTTATATGTCACTTAGTATATATATACATATATATGTATGTACTTGTGAAATGCTGTAATGCTACCAGTTGTTGTTGTTGTTGAAATTAGGATTTTTTTTTCTAAATAAAGGACTACTTACTTACTTATATACTGAATTTCAAAAATAGCCTATTATTCATCAAAATGGCTGAAGACCTACAAGTTTTTTGTAGTACTTGCATCAACATATTCTATCACATCCTACCAGCCGTTTTCCGAAAGCAAGTCCGGGACCCCCCGTTTTCGACCCCTCTTTGTTTATACATAGCAAATTAGAAAAATCTATTATTCGTAATAATGACCGAAGACCAAACAGTTTTTTGCATTTATGACATCAGTATAACCTACTCTATCACACTCTACAAGCCGTTTCCCCAAAGCAAGTCCGGAACTCTCCGTTTTCGACCCCCCTTTGTTTATACATAGCAAATTAGAAAAAAATCTATTATTCGTTAAAATAAGCGAAGTCCAAAAAGTTTTTTGCATTTCTGGCATCAGTATAACTTACTCTATCACACCCTACCAGCCCCTTACTGAATACAAGTCCGGAACCCCCGTTTTCGACCCCCCTTGTTTATATATAGCAAATTTGAAAAAATCTATTATTCGTCAAAATGGCCGAAGATCAAAAAGTTTTTTAAATTATATGTGTACCCAAATTGATATTATATGAAAAAATGGCATAACAAATTTCAGCTTGCCAGACTTTTATGTTTTACATTCTAAATTGTCACATAAGAGTTGCAAAAAAAAACATGAACTCAAAGTTTGTGAATAAATCATCTGCTTTTTAGTAATAACCATAGTTTGTAACCCATAGAGTATTGCCTGCTATTGCTGGGTGCAGCATGAAAACACAGTACTGTACTTTGACGAACATAAAGCGTCCTAGCGCTCATCCGGTTTCGATGGAGGGCCAAGTTCTGCCAAAGAGCCATTCATTTCGGCTGGTCGGAGTCCTGATCACCGAGGACCTGATCTGGGACGAACACATCTCGTCAATAGCTGCAGCTGCTGGGAAAAAGCTAGGCTATTTGTTTTGGTCTAAGAAGTACTTTTCTCCGCATGACCTTCTCACTCTATACAAGGCCCAGATAAGGCCTAGCCTCGAGTATTGCTCACACGTTTGGTGTGCTGCCGCCCCGACTACATTATCCATGCTCGATGCTGTCCAGAGGAGGTCGGTCCGACTGATCGGAGACTCTTCTCTAACAGACAGTCTCGGAACTTTTTCGCACCGGCGGGCCGTCGGCGATCTTGCTTTGTTCTGCCGCTACACCAACGGGGTTTGCTCCTCCA